AGATGTGTATAAGAGACATATATATATATATATATGCATTATAAACATAGAATAACAGGGTTTAAGCTGGCAAAAAAAAATAATATTAAGCTAATTTGGTATGAAAATAATTAGCCAAATAGAAATTTTATTAGCCAAAACTAAAGAATATAAGCAATGACAGCTTTAATTCTGTTTGCTTTTTGGCTAATTTTGAATGAAAGCATTTTTAGCAAAATTCAGTTTTTATTAGGATTTGGCTAATGACGGCATAAACACTGGAATAATAAAATATAATGCATCAATATAATTATGTATGATTATTTTTAAATATTATTAATTTTGTTTCTTGATAAAAGAATTGATAAAAGTGTACAGTATATGAAAACACTAACAGCAACATTTTTAATATGAATTGGTTAATAATTGATATCATGTTTTAAAGATGATGCAATGTGATGTGCTGGAGAAGCCAAGCAATCACCTTTAATGAGATTGGGCTTGCTCTTCAATTCTATTTATAGAATCTCTCATTGTAGAAGCCATGTGATGTTCTGATTAGTTCTACTGTTTCAGAAGTCATGTGATGATATTGGTGCATCTTGATTGGCTCTACCATAATCAAGTAATATTCTTGGTGCATATTCTATTTGCTTTACCGTTGATTAATATTTTGTGTTTACACCACCTTGATGTATAATATGTTAATATGTTAAATATTTTGAGTGTAAAATAAATCTGAATCATTTACCCTAGTCATTGATTAATAAATTTGACCAAGATTTCAAAATCCAGATTTTTCCTAACTTTAATTTCTCTTCGGTGAACAAAATATGTAAATACAGGAATATTATGACATTAGGCTAAGAAGACACACAGCCGTTAGATAAAGAAAATTCATCAAAAATGTGATATGACCATATGCGAGGTCTCACCACGAAATGAGTTGCATTGTTGGCGAAATCATATTGAGATATTTACTAAAATAGGTATAAATAAAAAAAATATTTTAATGTTTTTTAATAACTTTATACTTACATTTTATGATTGTATACTTTTAAAGTGATTTTCTAAAACTAAAAAAAAACTGTTCTCTGCACGTATTCTGTAATTCAAGTCCTGTTATTTGCACAGGTTGGTTATCTTTGAGGCCAACTTTCTCAAAACAGGCTTCTCATAACCTAAACGTTAAATGCTCACATATCTGGATCTACTTATCCTAGGGAACCTATTCAAAGACCAAATTAAAGCTTATAATGTGACCTACCTAAATACAATATAAACTCAATTTTTGATTTTCTAACCATGAGACTCATTTTGTATTGAGACCTCACATATTTGAAATGCATTTTACTATACATAGTTAGTCTGTAATAGATTAGTCATTTATAAAGTGTTTTTCTTTTCGGTAACAGCGCTTCTGGGCCTGTCTTGGGCCCCCCCCCCCCCTAGTCATTGGGTACAGAATTGATCATGCATGAAGCGCAATCTAATACTCCTGAATAAGAAGAGGCAATTTAGATAAAGTGCCTTGTTGAAGTATGCAGCAATACGACTAGCAGCTAACTATATACCTAACGACTTCTCAATTGAAAGCCTTTAGCGATGCGCCACTGTTCAAAGTAAACACAGAAGACCAAGAATAATTAGTAATTAGTCAGGTAGGATACATTGTTGGATCATTTAATTATCCACAATTGTTGCATGATTGTGCAAAACTAAAATATAACATCACTTAATACATGGTACATGATTTATAAATACTCTATATGGAACTGTTCAAAAATCTCAAAATGAAATAAAATAAATTTAAAAATAAAAAACTTTTTTTTTTTGCATCTACACAAAACTGGCTTTCAACCAACTTCCTATCATTTACAGGTATTCTGGTATTATAGAATCGTTATTGAATGTACAATTTTACAGTACTGCAAAAATAAATAAAATTTAAACAGGCAAACATACATAGTGTGTTTGGAAGCGGTTATGCTGTAGGTAGGTGTGTGGCTAGCACCTCCCCCAATCTTCAGGAAAATAAAGGTGGTTCATAATGATATAAAGTAAAACGATTGTCAGCAATCATGAATGTCTAAAATTCCCGAAGAATTACAGTCTAGTAGTATATATTAGTATACATACTTGTCTATAGTATATATTTTCATCTAGTGCCCTCTCACTTTCCCATCATGCACCAGGCCCATAACTATGCTCATGTGAAAGGTGGGGGAGGGAGGCTTTCCTATAGGTCAGAGTTAATAGAAAAAGGTTATGATAAAATACCACTACAGTAATTAACTCTTTGAAAAGGGAGGTTCGGCCAAACCCACAAAATCCTCCTGGTTACAGGCCAATGCACCCATACTACTAATTATATTATCGGTTTAAAAGACTAATGATTAGATGAAGATCAAATTAAAACACACATACACATGCACCCTATGGTGTCATAGATCAGTGACCTGTTGCCTTGTAAAGATGATGTATTCACCCCTCCTGCACTCACTCAACCATACTTACTCTTACGCACACACTCTCCCATGCACTGTGTTAGCACTAACAGTCAGTACCTGTGGGTGAATGCCTGATCAGTTAGTGCTAACCTTTACCAGGATCCGGATAAGCTAACAGTTGGCAAGCGCTATCGGTTAGCAAGCTGAGGGTGTTTCTGTCCTTAACCAATTACACGCACGCATTTCCAATTTCCAGTTTCCAATATCATCATCTTCTTGGTATCAGGATCAGGATTTTCTCGTATGAACGCACAGCAGCTAAACAGTTAGCAGGAGATCCGGATCCTGCTAACCATTAGCTGCCGTGTGTGAACATAGCTTAAAATTACATAATAAAGTATGCGATTGCAAAAAATTTAAGTCGGGCTCTGGAGGGAAAAAAATTGATATGTTGTAGAACTGATATTTCCAAGACAGAAAAAGTTGACGGAAAACTGGGGAACGGTGAATGAGATAGGGAGACCCTGCCTTAAATGCTCAGCCATTGGGTTTGTCTGAGTGGAAGATTAGTTGGCACACGTTGGGAAGATCACCTGCCAACTGAGGGAAACGGCAATGGAAATTTAGTGGGAACTATACACTCTGGAAAAGAGTGTGATACTAGATGAACATCAACAGGGAAAGTCACTTGTGTCCTTGGGCAAGACATGTTATCTGCGTTTGTCTCCCTCTACCTAAAGTATAAACAGACATCGACATATGCTGGGAAGGTAAACAGACTCACTGTGAGAAGGAGTGGCGATCCCCTCAAAGCATTGCCCAGTCTGGCCCCAATTACACTTAAGAGGCTCTAATACCTTTACCTATACCTTACATGACAATAAACTCAAAATGGTAAAGCATATAACAACCAATCGAGAATACACAGTGTAGACGATTATTTGACAATTATGTAGCGGCGTATCTAGGGGGATGCACAGGGCGCCCCCCCACCCAAAATCACTTGCAAGTATATAAAAATCACCTAAAATCAGCTTATTTTTCAAGTTAGCACCCCCAAACTGATCGAGTAACCCCATTTCACCTTTGCACCCTCCCATCAGCACTCCTATTTTAAGACTTCTAGATACGCCACTGAAATTAAGACATCTTAAAAATTACCAAAAGTTTCACACAAACACTCTTTCAAACTAGCAACTGGATGATTAGTTGACCACTCCCATAACCTCGAAATAACTATAAAATAAAAAGACTAGTAGATGTGAAATCAAGGTGATTCATTATAGACAATAAATATTGCTTCGTTTATCGCAGTGCATAGTTTAAAACTTCAATATATACAAAACATATTAAATATATCTATTGTATTACAATAACCATTTACTCGCTATATTTGGGAAAGATTAAACCTTAACTTAATAAAAATACAATTTTTGAAAATAGATTATATATTCATTATTATTTAAGAATTTGAGATTTTAAGCCTGGACTTGTTCTAAAGGTTTTTCGGCAGGGATTTTATGCTGGTTTGCCTGTTCTGGTGAATTTTCCAGGCTAGCCGATGGTAGCTGTGCTTCTACTCTAAAGCCCTCAGGGGATCCTGGGGGTCTTGGAGACTTGGATGTTCTTCCACTCATTGGCCTCTTGTTGCCATTCTTGGCGGAGTGCGGACGACTAGCTTGTCGTGCTGATCCGGGCCGACTTGGTTTTGTGTTCTGTGAAATGTAAATGGCATTCAGAATTATTTCTTTAAAAGGATAAGACCTGCATATTGTGACCTGATAGGAGCTCTAGAATTATTTTGGTCATATAGTGACAATTTTTTTTTTTATCTATAGACCCTGATTTCTAAATGTGAACATGCTGGGGCAACACATCTTTTTTTTGGGCCAGATATTTACCAACAAGGGGTTTGACATGTCCGATGGGGGGGGGGGTCTAAACCAAGGGCCAACTAGAGCCTCGGTCCTGGTCCCAGAATCAAAATTCCCTGCTGGGTTCACTGGATATATTTTATAGATAGTATGGTCGAAATTGTGGTTTTAGACCATTTTGGATCCGACGACATCATCGTCTGATGACAGGTGGTCCAGGGGGAGGGCGCCAACACTTGGCCTTAAAGGGATGTAAACATATACAGTATAAGGGGCTTGCTTACCTTAGGGACTGCAAGGTTTGGGAGTCTGTCTGTGTCTTGTCGACCTTTATATATATGTCCATCTTGACCCTGAATATCATGTTCAACTCTGCAAAACAATTTTTTTTTAAATTTGTAAATATTCACCAACATAAAGAAGTATACATCACATGCAATCCAATTTTAATTGAAGTAAGGTGGTGAAAATGTTTAATGCTAACAAACCAAATTATATATTTTGTTACTGTCAAAAATTTTGATCATATACAAAATCAGTTGTCATAGTCATTAATAATAAACTTATAATCATTATCATCATCATTATTATAATAGCTTGGCTTGTTGAGAAAATCAAAGTAGCTTGGCCTTATACTTATCAATTTGGTATATCCATCAATGGTAATCAGAAAGGTCTTGGTCAAGTTCTGATAGGACAATTATGTGTTTGTTTTTTAAAATACTGATTATCATAATACCATCAGTCATCATCATCAAAAATATTATTGATATCATATTTACACCACTTACTTGATAGCACGAATTGGTTCACCTTCTAAATCTTGAAATGCTTGACTGCAAAAATAATAGTGCAATATATTTAGTAATGGGGTCATAAAGTATTTGCTAAAGTATATACTTAATGCTGTTATACTGAGGCTACATATCAAATGACACCACGTCGAATGCTTTCATAAACACCCATCCTATAATCATATGCTACAGTATCATACTGTACTCATCAAATGCTACCAATGCTATCATACCCATGCTACACACCCATGCTACACATCAAATTCAATCAAAATAATTCTACATATCAAATACTATCATAATGATGATATTATATGTGGCAAAGACAAGCCAAACCAGTCACTCGTCGCAAAAATCAATTTTGAGTTATTACTCGTGTTAGAGAGTAAAATAATAGCTATAAAATGGTAGGAAAGTCTTTCAAATCGGAACATTTCCTTATGAAGTTACAAGCGCTTAAACATACAGCTGTTTAAAGAACAATATATGAGAAATCGGCCTTCAAAGTTTATGATTTCAGGCATTTCTCATGCAGAAACTATCATCAAATCCTTAAAAAGTGTTGTTTTAACATTGAAAATGGGGAAATTAACAGCATAGAATGATGTATAGATGTGTAAATATTAGTTTAGTGCAATAAAATAGATTTTTTAAAATTTGACATTCCAGCATGTTTTAGCCATTTTCTCTGAAACACAATTTGCGACGAGTGACTGGTTTGGCTTGTCTTTGCCACATATATCAAATACTATAATACTTAAGCTACGCTTGTACAGTATATATCTATTTGTATGTATGCATACCGTATACACATTAAGGTCTTATCGTAACATGTGCTTTTGCACTTCTCGACTATGATCCTCCTTACAATATAAGATTGTATTCATATTGAATGTTGTAAAATATTGTGGTACCATCAAAGATTCTCTAACTAGCGGTTCATAAGCATCATAAGCATCAAACTGAACTTACTTGAGATATGGGACTCGGTTTGTCCTTCGGTGGGGGTAAGTCAGCGTATGGCTACCGCCGCAGCTTCTTGAAGCAGAGAAATAAGCAGGAACATCTTGGTAATTGGAGCTTAAAAAAAAAAGAGGGAATGAATAAAAAAGCAATGATGAGATGAAGACTGATAAAAGAAATGGATAACATGAAAATAAGATAAAAGAACACTAAAAAAAATAAATAAAATAATTACTATAGAGTTGAACTTGCAAAGTCGAATCCAAAATGGCATTGATAAACTGTTCACTTATTATAATTATTATTATTATTATTATTATTATTATTATTATTATTATTTTATTTATTCTGCCTTTATACTGTAGGCACTTTCAGTACTATTACACTGATTTTCAAAGTGGTACAGTTTAAACATATCAAAAACATATACATTATACAGAATTGTTTAAAAAAATACAAAAAATAAAAACCAAGCAAGAGAAGAGTCAATGAAATACATTTATGTAGTAATATTGTTTTGGAATGAATGTAACAACATATTTTGAAAGTTAAATTTTAATTCATTAGGAAGTTCAGTAAAAAATAAATAAAATTCAACTGATAGATTTTTAAGAAAGTATAATACATACTCATTAATTATGTCATCATCATAAGTATTGAAATACACATGATGATGACATAATTAATGTCGAAATATTGAATCCCAACACGATGGCGTGTATTTCAATACTTGGAGTATGTATTATACTTTCTTATCTGAGATTAATCAGTGGACCTTTCGGTGATAGATTTTTAATTAATGAAAACACAACAATTCGGCATGTAAAATAAGATCAAAATAGAAATTATTCGAGTCAGGTAAAGTCAACTATAGGGAAGTTTAACTGTAATTAATTAAGCACTTTTAAATAAAATAAAAAATAAATAAAAATAAAGTCAGATTTTCAACAAATGCATTCTTTATCACAACGGCTTGTATCACAGATGTTGATCCCATGATAAACATTTTCAAGGCATAAATAAAAAAAATTGTTTATGATTTCATAACCCTATGTCTAAACTTAAATATGTGATTTGACAGGCTTTATATTTTATTAATAAAATATACATATTTTTGTACTAGTTGTACTCAATAACTGCAAATTAATTGAAATCTTGATTGACTATAGGGAGCAGTAGTAGCAAAGCTTAATATTTAGGAAAACATAACTCAACAATTTACATGCTGTTTTCATTGGGGCCGTGATAAAAAAGAAAATATAAATCAAATTTACAAAACATGCAATAAAGGAAAAGAAGTATAACGAAATAATGAAATTCACACTATACAAAATAATTTATATGAACAGCATTATAATATTTTACTCTAAACAGAAATAAGGTACATTTATAAATATTAAACATTTACATTGAGGAATATGAAATAAGTTTTAATGCTTAAAAGTTTGTACATTTCAATTTAGTTTGTTCCATTTAATAGCAGACATGCAACAGATCATCCTAGTAATGTGCAAGTGATGGGTGAATACAAGAGCTTCCAAAAATTTTTTTGTGAAATCAAACTGTCCAAGCATATTTAATAGACACAGAGCAACAATATGATGCAAAGCACTAAAATGCAATATGCAATAACACATTAAATAGACTTATTTCATCTACTGGACACCACAAAACCCAAAAATTAAAGTACCGAGCTGAAACAGAATCAAAAGCCTTGTTTACATGCGATCAATATGGAATTATATTTTACTGTATTTACAAGAACTCAAAAGGAAATAAGTTTTACTCTTCTGAGCTTTTCCTTCTAAATTAGGGTCGTGTTTTTGTGCAATTTTTATCGAGCACCAGCCCAGAAACAGCTGGTGCTCGATCAGACTGGCTTTGAAGTTAGTGGACTGCTGTAGAACTCACTGGCAGATTCTTTTTCGTAAGTGTGAAGCCAGGGCACGCACTGCATCGTACAACCGTCAAATGACCGCCGCACGAAGCATCCACCTCTGCTTCCGGTAAACAATAGACGACGCAACGCCGTCTGTTGATTGTCAGTGGCAATCTGAACGGATCCTCATAAAGCGATCCGTTGGGTCCGAACCGTCGCGTGCATTCGTCGTTGCATTGCCGTTGCACACAGTGAGTACTTGGCTTTAATGGGCTGAGAGACCAGTGTAATCCTGTGGATGTTAATGCTCCATAATCCCCATCCCCAAAGTATGAACAAATTTGTCTGCAGTTTAAAAATGATATGAACCTTGTGGTGTGCAAAAAAAACCAGTTCTAGTGTATGTGTCGGTGGAAGTTGGTGTCTTGAAGGGACATGGCTTTTTGGGGAAGGGTGCGTTTGAAAAAGGAGAAGGTGCATTCGGAGGATGTGTCTTGAAATTGGAAGAGGGTGTCTAGTTTTGGTCGAAAATACTTTTAAAATATAACTTTTCTTACCTCCATTTACTGTATACAAAATAAGTTGTGGAAATAGCAGAAAAAATAAAAATAAAAAGTGAATGATAAATCTTGAAAATGAATGACAAAACTACAATGGACATTTTTTTATAGTAATTAATGGTGCCAATTAGTTTTGCCTATTTCTTTAAATACTGCATTATTTCTTTTACACTCATGTCGATCTGATCATATACGCACTCTCAACGAGCTTTGGAAAAGTGTTGAAATTTGCTAAAAAGTCTGGCGGTGGCTGATAATATTTTTTCAAAACCCTGGCGATCAGAGTGTTAATATAAATTTATTAGAGTGTTAAGCAAACGTTATAATCAATCTGGTTAGAAATAGAGTATACGTAGTTAGTGAAACAAAAAGGTTTTAGTAATTCACTCAATTATTCATTCATTTTGAGTATAACTTATTTTAACACAATAATAAATGTTAATAAAAAAATTGCAACAGTTTCAGATTCAAATAGAAAAATATCAATATTGGGGGGGTTTATAATAATAAATATTATGATTATTTTATTTTCAACTGTCCTTCACAATGGGAATCTAAAAATTTTATTAAGCCACAGATTAAAAGAATTACATTTCCGCTAATTTATGGATGAAACTATTTAAGGGTTTGTGCAAAAATATAGATATTAATTTAATGCATTTATAATAAAAAACATAAACAATGTTGAAGAAATAGCTTCATGACATTTATAAATAATGATTTTGCTTTTGTGTGGAATACATTTATATTTCACCATTTATTTTATCACATATTTCCTTGAAATCACAATGTGCATTATAATATGGTTGCTAAATCACAGCAGATCACCAACCTCCCCCACCCCCCCCCCTTCCACAACCCAACCAAAACAAATAAAAACATAAACGATGTTGAAGAAATAGTTTCACGACACTTTTAATTTTGTGTGGAATACATTATGTTTCCTCAAATTCACAATGTGCATTATAATAAGAAAATGGATGGCCAAATCACAGCAGTTGTGAGGTGAATGTGTTCAACTACCTGGATTCCTGTGCTTTTACTTTTAGGAACTCCGTCATTTGTTTTGTGTGTTTCATTTTCATTAATTCTCCTTGCAAGCCGCTGACATTAGGTTCCATTTGGAATGAAGGATAGTCTCCAGATGTTGACAGAGGGGGTAAGTTTCTTTATTGGATTGGCAAAAAGATATTCAAAGTCAAGGATCAAGAATTTTAAGATGGATTATTTGTAAGAGCACTTAGCACTATATTCAGCAACAATATCATAAAACATCTGAAATATGTTGCTGATAGAGGGGGTTAAGTTTCTTTATTGGTTAAGTCAAGGATCAAGATTTTTAAAATGGATTTTTTTTCCAGAGCATATTATTCAAAAACAACAATATATAACAATAAAAATATTTTTACATACAAGCTCCACTTTAAATCATCCCAAATCATGATTCGAAACTTGACGTGAATGGTATAGGAATCAAGGTGTGAGGCCCACCAACCACTGAAAACTATAGCTAGAAAACACCTTGTTTTTAAGGCCCGACAAAAATCATGTACAAGAGTAATATTAAAACTGGGAATAAAATGGTAAAAAAGATGCACTGCAGCAGTATATGAAGGCTTTCGCAAGCACAGCGGAAACACCAAAGTTTACGTGCGACCCTCTGTGTTAATTCAAAAATTCACTTTGGCCCTCCAACCAATTTTTATGCGCACCCTTGCCTGCTTTATGATATAACTTGTCTGGAATCACTTTATGGAAAGAATATCAAAATGAAACACACTAATCTGAAAAACCTTCATATCAATTCTTATGAACCATGAAGCTAACTTAAAAGCAAATAAAAATATAAACAATATAATGTTTTTAAATATTATACTGTAACCTACAAATCAACAATATATCTATGCCAAAAAAATCCTGAATTTTTACAGCAATAGTATTCTTCTAATATTCTTGAAATTTCAAAAGCTAACCAAGCAACTACTGCACACGATGTCTTACACTAATTGTTGAAACTCAGGCTGTTAATATCCTGTCCTTGCTTTAAAAACTAGGTGAAATTTACACTTAAAGATTACTGACAAATAGTACAATACAAATATGTAAAGAAGAAAATATGTAGAAATAAGAAGAGATAGATAACAAATTTATGATGTATAAATCATAAACATATAAAAGACAGATAAACAAGATATAAAGAGAAAAGATGTGTTTAGATACAATGCACAGAATAAATAGAAAATAAATGAATATAAATATTAAAGTAAAAGACATACAAAGTATATGAGGCTTTTGCCATCCTAAAACTAGCATTAGTGGCCAAAAAATTAAAATTGATATATTCTTATTCTAACAATATTCTTATTCTTATGCTAATTTACTTTAAATTTAATTCTTATTACAAAGTTATTTGCAATTTTAACTTTTTGTTGTTTATCGTGCCATGTTTAATTTGGGTTTTTCTTGTTTTCTTTTCTCTTTTATTTTTGATACTTTTTGTACTGTTTAATATTTTACTTCTGTTTATATTCTGAACTTTATTGTTAAAAACCAGGACCATTTTGAAAAGCAGTACTACGCTACTGAAAATGCTATCCAGTCGAAAGAAACGTGAATAAATATATTATTCTCAACGTTATAAGCTTTAAAACGATGGGTCACTTTCTGGAATCAACTTAATTTTGCCAAAATTATGAATAAAAGTATTACAGCTTCTCTGTGCTAAAGTATACAATACTACAACATTCTTTTGGTAATTACTCAATTTAACAATTAGTGATATTACATTGGGTTTGGGAAAGCAAGCCTCGTATACCAAACAAATTTATAAATATTTAACTAGAATTAAACTCAATTTAACAGAACATTTCTAAACAAATACAAGTTATTGTTTAGAAACAAAGAGAGTTATTTAGGGATTACACAAATACATATAAACAACATTAAATTAAAACATTAAGACAAACAATAAATACAATACACATGAATATTCAAGAATATCTAATTTATGCTAACATTTTCTAAATAATGAACTATATGTTTATAACGTTAGCAAACTATTGTTTGCAAGCCTAACCTGATGTAAGCCTGTGGATTTCCTATTCCACCAATCCTGCTTTGAAAGCTATCTGGAAGCTCCTGACCTCGACTAAAGTGCACTAAATAAGCTAACAAGTCCTGTTTTCTCTTCTTAGCAACCTTCTGTTCGTACAGCGATCTCTGATAATGCTGTACATTCTTGCCTGGCCTAGCGCTACAAGAAATTACAATTTTCATTATCAACATGACAAGATCATGATAGGATTTGAACCAGGACTCTGGAATTGGAACGCAAGCATCTTAACCACCAAGTTACAGCATCACTATTTATTTCAGCTTTTATAAAAAAAAAAGGATGGCACTATCATATTCTAAAATATACACCAACAAAAATACCTAGTCTCAATATACTTACTTTTTCTGAGCTGCTCTAATTTGTTCCAGTTCAAAGGTTGTATAGGGACGACCTGACCTGTTTCCAGGAAGTGGTTTTGACTCTGGGAGAGATGCGATCGGCCTGGAAAAAGAAAGGTGAAAAATCCAAACAAATAGTACTATAGAGTTAATTTTTTTGTTTGTATATGGCAACATAGTTCATGATATCTCTTCACTGACAGAAGTAATCAATATAATTTTGCAATTCGAATATGATGGGTTAATTGGTGGATTTGGTTGAGTGATCAATGGATCATCTTACCCATGTGTTGCTATGTCTAGCGGTTTGTCACATGATATGCAATGGAACTTCTGCATCAAAGGTCTGTAAAAGGTAAAGCAGACAGCATTAAAGGTTAAACATAGGAAATATTTGGTACTCAAAACAGAATATAACACAACATACATAAAACATTATTACATGCCTAATACTAATTATGATGATGATGGTAATGGTAAAGGTAAAAGTAAAGGTAGGAGAATAACCCATAACTTGCAGCGTCATTGTGCTGAATTGCGTATGGGCGTGGTCCGTGACTACCTAGCAGCCGTTAATAGGGGCTTAATAGTAGATACATGTTCACATCATTCCAGAACGACAGCGGCTGAAATGATCCATAACATTGGGGTAACCCACTACTCTTGAGAAAGATGCAATGGGTTCTTTAAAGTGCACACGAGCCAGATGTATACACTGGACCTCCATTAAGTCCTTATCCGAGAAGACTTGGTTCTGGTTTTTGGTTGGCGAGGAGCGGCTGGAACCAGCGCTGATGTTAAGGCTGTAGTTAGCGGCGCCCCTGCGATACCGTTCGGCCACTCGACTAACTGGTGTTGTTGATGGTGATGAAAATAATGGTGGGGGGGGGGTGATGAAGAGTGTAGTAAAATGATCATGTAGATAACTTAGAGCAAAATTTTTACATGCTGATGCCTATTCTTACTTTCTAAATCCTGCAGCATTTTCTCCAATTCCCTCCGTTTCCTTGGGAATCATTTTAGCACTGGCAACTTTAATGCGCTTGTCTAGGTATGACTTCAATGGGTCAAGCTCCATTCGATCAAGTTTGTTGTCAATGTCCAATTTCATCTCACTGACTGCATCCTCCCAAGCATTTGTCTATATAGTAAGAATATGAATAAAATTAATATTGTTATAATCATCATTATCACAAAATTATCAGCTTAATCCACTAGTCTAGAATTCATCGCAGTGCACGGTATGGCAATAAATATATTATTCTCAACGTTATAAGCTTTAAAAACGATGGGTCACTTTCTGGAATCAACTTAATTTTGCCAAAATTATGAATAAAAGTATTACAGCTTCTCTGTGCTAAAGTATACAGTACTGCAACATTCTCATGCTAATTACTCAATTTAACAATTAGTGAGAGTACATTGGGTTTGGAAAAGCAAGCCTCATATACCAAACAAATTTATAAATATTTAACTAGAATTAAACTCAAGTTAACAGAACATTTCTAAACAAATACAAGTCTAGAATTCATCGCAGTGCGCGGTATGGCAATACATACAAGTTCTATCTGCCTTTTGCACACGAACCGGAAAAAGATCAAGCAAACTGCACTAATGAAAAATTAGTGTACGATTGTTGATAGGAAATTTAAGAGTTACAGTGATGACATCACAATTGACTTATAAATATTATTAGGCATCTTTTTAATTCTTTTTTCTTTAGCCTCCTAATAAAAATACCATAGACACTAATAGAGCCTTGTTGCAGATGCAACCCCTTGGCCAAATACATTAATGAAATGATAAAAATTTGTTTTTTCCTTTTATAAATGAATAGCAAGTAATGTAATAAGTTTAATATATAATTTTAAAAATCACTTACATGTCCTGATAACTTATGCATGACCTCTTGTAAGTTCTTGGAAAGTTCATCAACAGTGCCCTCAAACTGAGCTCGGCTAATCTTGTTGTCAAGAGCCCTCTTGTCTGCTTTCTGTTAACAAAAGGTTATCCAACACTTAGTGTGTGAAGAAAGCACATTTATATAGGTCTCCCGAAAGTGGCTTGCTCCAGTTATATTAACTCCCGATATTATATTTTCCTAACAAATTACTTTCCAACATTAGCTCCAATATTCACTATCTCTACTTCAAACTTGTGGATAAACGATAAAATATCACTTTAAAATATACTTTAAAAATTAAAAATAGCTGAAAATAGAAAAATATACAAAACAATTTAGATTTATTTTCTGCTGAGGATTTGAACCTGAATTTTATATAGTAGGTAAGGTGACTTTCTATACTTACCACATCTATCTCCATGATAACATGCTCCTTATCTGCCTTGAATTCTTGCAGACGATCAATATAGGTGTAGAGAGCCTGTGATAAGAAAATTAGGCAAAACTTCAGAATTCAAACATTTGAAAACTATAGCCTCAGTGGGTGATTTTTTTAATTAAGCAATAGTATGACCAAGCAGCAAAGTCTGCTTTAAGTGGAGGATTCAAGAGGAGGGGAGCCAGCTAGCCCAGGTCCCCTAAATTTGTATAAAATATTATAAAATGATGGAGAAAAAAGAAAAAAAATTTGAGGCCAACTAGAGGTGCCATATTAAAAAATGTTCTTCCCTCAGCCCCAACCATGGTGGGCTTAGGAGGCCTAGACCTTCCATCTGTGAAAGTCAATCCCCAGACCACCTCTATTTTGTATTCCCAGATCCGCCACTGAATATGATCTTGATACTTACATCGATGTGTTTCTGTTTGGCGTTGTGTTCATCAACAAGATGAACAAGAGTACTATTCAACTTCTCAACCTCTGCTTGAAGTTGCAGCAAAACGCCTTGCATTTCAGTAAGAGACTCGCTATCCTGTAAAAAAGGCAAACCATATATTTTTTTCAAATATTATTATTATTACAAACAATTATAATTTTAACTTATCCATAGAGAAAAGATCATCCAGTCATTTTTGTGGCAACCCAGAATAACTCTCTGTCTATTCTAATAGTATTCCGGCTATTCAGTTTCTAGTTGAACCATGGGCTAATAACCCCAACTTTCTAAGAAGCCACTTGTTAAAGTCATGTATTCCCAGACAAATTTAAGCTGTCCGCGCTAACTTCTGCTATTATGTAAGCCCTGACTACACTAGGTTTTAACACCTCTATGTCTAGATATGTCAGGGTGAACATTATCCCCAAACTAAACTCATCTCTTCCACATCTGTTCTCCTAAAAAAAACAAAAAACTAAACATCTAAGCTATGATCTTCCTGGCCTACCATACTATCCCCTACGGGTAGAATCTCTAGATCTGTTGCCTGTCCTTCAAAGGAGCTAAGTTGCTTCTTGACACTGCTGATGCTCTTGCTGATGTCTTTCAGTTTGGTGTTGAATTCTGCCGTGATCATCTGGATCTTGTTGTCAAGAAGTCTAGTAATGTCGTCTTTTGTGAGTCCTTGTTTTTGTAACTGTTGGAACTATCCAGACGAAAAGATGCATCGACATTTTGGTACAGTGAATTATCTTAAGTACTAAAGAATGGTAATTCTATCAGATTATAATTAAGCCAAAACAATTGTAGTGTTTCATAAACTAAAAGTATGAAGCCCTGTCCCGACAATCAAATTTTATTTGACAAACATGACATGAAATATGGTCAAATAATGAGCATATAGGCATATCATGATACATTATTGGCATACACCAGTTTTTTGTTAAACAAAATTGTAAATTTCAACAGGGCTTTGTTTAAATTCACAAGTGTTTCAAATTTGATTACAGATAAAAATTATTTTTCTTTCACTAGCTATATATAGCTATATATATATATATATATTTATATAGATTAAGGATTTTGAATATTTTAAGCATGGAGGATATTTTTAAAGTATATCGACTAACGTTAGGTTTTAAAATAATGCATGGCCAACGTCCATTGTCGTTTAATAATCTTATGAGATCAAATGAAAGCTTTTTACTCTGCCGAATAAATATTATTATTATTATTATATTATAAAACTAAAAATGATAAGCAAGTTTAAAACAATATAAAGTCAATTACCCACCTTCCATGCTATGTAACCATAATCACTGAATTAATACATAGTATAATCTATAATATTATGTCCAGATTAGGCAAAACTTTTTATACCTTGTTTTGTGAACTTATTTTTTTAAGGATCATCAGAGGAGGGCAGAAAAACAATAAAAATAAAATTTTGGTTTTTTTATTTAGCCATGAGTTTTGCCAAAATCATCCAGACGGTAGAGAAAATAAAAATAAAAGTTTATTGGTGAATGTAAACAGTGTAGTAATGGGATGGCTAAATACTTTAAATTTATATGATTAGGGAAGAAATATACATATCTTATTTTTGGAGATTTCAAGGCAGCAGCAGCATTATAAAAATAAAGAAAAACTTTTATTTTTTCTTGAAATTGCAATTTTTCTGTGGCAACAGGTGCACTAATAGGCCAAAAATAGAATTTAATTTTTTTTTTATTCGAAAGTGACAGATGGCGGATTCACTAAACAAGGTATAGGAAGTCTTAATTGTTGGATTACCAAATTAATAAAAAAAATTACTATATAAAAACTATTAATCACAGTTGATGGATTGTACACTATGAAAAAATACCTGGCCACTAGTAAATCCATTTACAATATCTGCACAATATGATAAATAACAGGAAAAGACCTATAAAACTCGGAATTCTTATAACAATTGAATTTGATAAATTCTACAGCATCAGAAACCATAGTTTGCTAGCCTTAAATAGCTGAGGATGATCGCTAATTACCCTGCGGTCCATCTCGGCCATCAGCTGAGTCTTTGTCTCGTTAACTAGGGCTAATAAGTCATCTAGAACCTGACTAGAATCTGATGTAGTATTCATTCGCTCCTGCAAATCTAGTAGAGATGCCTGTAAAACATATCAAGAGGTATACTAGTTTTCTTTATAATAGAATTACAATATCAAATATGCATTTCCTGAAACTTACTGAATACTGAATTTACTAAATATGTACTATTATGATATAAAGTATAAAGAGACCATTTGAACCAAACATGACAGAAAGAGGTTTCTGTGACATTCAAAAATTATTACATAAAACAATCTTATTTACATTAAAAAGTATTTTCCTGTTTAAATTATATACATTCTTTCAATTTTTTAGAGCTATTTTGTACATATAGCATATTGGTTGTCAATGAATAAATCTTTTTCATCTTAAAGTCACTCAATTTTATCAAGGTATTTACGGTTATGGGAGCTTTTGTTTGTCATCCATTTCTTTCATAAATTTTATGACATTTTTATTAAATAATGGATTACTCGAAAAAAATCTTTATTGTTAAATCATAAATCTGCATCACATATTAATGTTGATTATTCCAGGTTGTATTTAATCCTTGCTCAAACTTATCTTGACTAGAGGTGGTTCATTCAAAGTTTATCATTTTTGCTCTTAAATATAATTTCTTAAGATGAAATTTATTTTTTAATTGCACCTAAAAAATAACTAGTGTAATCTAGTGTATAGAACTAGAATTAGGTCGTCTGAAATTCAAAGGTTAATAAAGCGTTCTTTTGCTGAAGTCTCCCAATCTATACACAGTTCTGTAACTAATACAATAAAATAAACATGTAATTAAAGCCAACGCAGTGACTTACAATAGAACTCTGCCAATGTAAACAGTTGTCTCAAAATGCTTGAGTCAAATTCATTCATACAAACGTTCATTCATGTCAGACAAATAAACTTACTTTTAGATAGAGAAATTTGAAGATGGTAGTTTGCATAAGTTTTCCCCATATGTTTAACTAAAGGGTATTATACATGTAATAGATATGCTTTTTTCATTTCATTTTCAATGTGTTAAGAGTTAAGTTGATTTGTCAAGGGACGGCCGAACTGGTAAATTAAGTTTCATGTACAGGTAATAGATAGTAAACAAATGAATGACACTTTAAATATGATTAGGAATAAAAGACACCCATAAGATGTTATAGTACTTAATTGAAATTATCAAATCCTACTCTATACACTTATTCCTAAAGGGTATAATTCCAAATGGATTTGTAAGACTTTCTAGAAAGAACGTTTACCTTTACTTGGCTTTTAGAAAGAGCATCCAAGCGTTCACTGAGAGATTCAAGCTGACTGGCTAGATCTTCAGGAATGTCTCGTTGACCAGATAATAATTCTTTGATCTCCGAAAGGTCAACCTTAGTTGGCATTGTTTCCTACAAAACAAATGAATAAAACATATCACTGAGATGAATTTTGAATAAAATATAAAAAATAAATTTTTTTTAAACACTAATATTTAGCCAGCTATAATAAAAAAAATCAAAACAGGAATATCTAAAAGAAATTTACATCAATAAATATTGCAATTCCACATAACATTTGTATAATACACATTTAAAAATTAAATGGTTAAAATTATTTCAAATTCTATTATATTACAAGGATTAATATTAAAGGAGTATTAGGGAGCTTTTGGTTTCATGAAGCAAGGAATATCTATGTCAATTATTTTTTTGTGCAATCCAGGGGAGGGCATAAAAATTGGTCGGAGGGCCAAAGTGAACTTTTGATTTAGCACAGAGGGCCGCACCCAAATTTGATGTTCCAGTGATCTTCCCAAACCTTTTTTTGATTGGCGGGCTGCAAACATTGGGTTTTTAATTCATTGTCGCGGGCCGCAAAAAAATCGCTGACTGGCCGCATCCGCGGGCCGCACTTTGCCCACCTGTGCCTTAAGGTTAGGTTGTGGCTCGATTCAAATCTATGTTGTCCAGAAACCTAAAATAGTATATGTATGATCGAATCCATCTTATGGTCGTTATCGCATGAATAAAAATCTCCCTAATATTGCCTATTACAACGTTTGCAAGATGAAGTCTGCACAACCAGCAGTATACACTACCTCTAGTGTTTTAACTCTGTTGTCCAGTTTATCATGGTCGCCTCGTAGCTCACCAAGGTCACGCAGAATTTGTTGAATTTCCAGTGATGGGTGGGCAGAGTGGCCTGAGCTTGCCGTTCCAGGCCTTGATGATGGAACTGGTGAAGGGGGAATAGTATGAGGCTCTGGAGTCTGCAAAAAAAAAGAGAAAAAAAACCAAAAAACGATTTTATAAGATAAGCTGGTCTAGTGTACAAATCTGGCTCATGTGCACTTTAACAAACACATTGCGTCTTTCACAAGGGTAGGGGGAGGGGTTTACCCACGATGCTCTGGTTCATTTCAGTCTTTGTTTGATTGTAGAATAAACATTTTACTAAAGAATCTCTCCATACAAAAATCACCACAATGACTGGAGTTTTACCACCTACATATTTATTCATACTGTTCTTTTGTATATAATTTGAAAACCTTTCTCTAAGGGACATCCAACAAATTTTGTTCTTCCAGACACATTTTCTTTTGAGTACATCGACAACCAAAAATACTGCAGATTTTATGTGCCCTTAACTTTTATTTATTTTTTTTTGCTTTGGCATTTTGTTTTTAAAGACTAGCCTAGGTCTCTACAACAACAGTCATGCATCAGTTACAGAGCACATAAACAATAGTAACTACGTAGAGTAAAATGCCTATGCCTAAGGATGTCGCCCAGTGGTAGTTGCCAGGTTTTCATTTCAAATTTCGCAAAAATGGTGTATACTTCATTTTTTTTTTTTACTATACCATATTGTGCTTCCTGCCATTTGGGAAAAAATCCACCAACATCAAGTCAAGTAGAAAGTAACATCAATCATTACCACAATCATTAAAAATCGTCATGGTTACACATGACATTCAAGGTTAAATACACAAAATGATTTTGTGAAGTACAAAAATAATAGTCAATCAAGATAAAAAACCATGATGGTAATTATAGATAAAGAGATTCTAAAGTAGAAATTTCTACCTATAATAGTCCTCTAATAGTGCTTGACCTCTAATATTTGTGGATGAACATGCGACGCATGTAATTATCAAGCGGACAGCCACGCAACCACATGCAGAGATTCATTGCAAACCCTCTTAACGTGCGTAGTTTTAATAGAAAACTTGTATAATTCATTTTTAAATCAATCATTATTTGACGTATGTATTCTAAATATATATCTTTTTTCAAGACAGTGATAAATTTCGCTTTTAAAGCAATCAATCAGAAAGGTGTTATGTATACTATGAATAGTAAAATTGTTCTTTGCCTGAAAACAGATAAAACAGGTAAAAAAATAAATTTAAGCTTATGCACTTTACAGCCCCTGTAGTTCAAAAACTAAATGCATAAAAAACCAATGGCTAAGTTGTGAGAATGTTAGTTTGTTTTAAATTAACCAATCTGAAAAAAGAAAAATGAGCACTTTCCAAAAATGGTACATTACCACCAGGTCATAAGAGTAATTTGGTTATTTGATGAATATGCAAATAAGCAATGACACATGTATGTTAATAACCACTTATTACCATCACAACTACATGTTACAAATCATGTATCAACAAATTAGTATCAAAATATACATGGAACATATTTAAAGCATGCATTCATAATTTTATGTGTTGGAAGCACACATCCACAAATTTACGTGTTAAAAGCACACGTCCACAAATTTACGTGTTGAACATGCATCCACAAATTTATGTGTTAAAAGCACACGTCCATAAATTTACGTGTTGAAAGCATGCATCCACAAATTTATGTGTTAAAAGCACACGCCCACAAAATTACACGTTGAACATGCATCCATAAATTTATGTGTTAAAAGTACACATCCACAAATTTATGTGTTGAAAACACACGTTGACAGATTTACGGTATGTGATTCATTGAGTGTTTACCTTAGTTTGCACATGGGCATCATGCATAGGCATTGTTTGAATTCTCGTAGACTTGAATTAAAAAATTATGTTAAAGAAAAGAAAAACAATTAAAAAAGTACTCATTTATTAATTTTTTAGAATTAAATGTCAATTTTTTTTGCCCTATATTGCAAGTGATTCTTATGAAGAATACTTTCATTGGGTAAGACTGAATCAGGCATATTGTTTGGTTAAGACAGTCACATTACACATGCTATGGACTTGGAAAAAAAAAAAATTTTCACAACCAATAAAAACTTTATCCCCCTTACCCAAATCTACAGTATTAGCATACTTGGTTAAATAATTATAGAGCAAAACAAACACACGATCAGCAATGCTAAATGAATAATTTAGATAATGTAAAAACAACTGTTTGTGAAATACCGTAAAGAGCTGACACTAAAATAAGCCAAGAAATGTGCTCAATAATATTTCAGAGTTCACTTACTTCATGTATTGGTGTTGTTTGTGATGTGTTGTCGTAGACAGCCACAGGCTCAGTTTGGATTCCCTTGAGGGCGTCCTCCATCGCAGGCCATGTAACAACTGTTGCTGGATCTGGCCACACATTCAGTTTGTTATTGAAATCATTCTGTCACAGAGAACATGTAGATATATTATTTAAGATAAAAATTAATTTAATGAATAATATTTAAAGAGCAATCAATATTATTACGCTACTTCACTTCAACATTAACAGCATAACTTTTGTATTGTTGTTTTCATGATTATATTTTAACCAAGATCATTCAGCTCCTCCATAGAGTGATTTATTTAAAATTTTTTTTATTGCAGCCATTAATGATATCATTATATTAACATTACCATCATCTGCATTTACCATTATCATAATTATTTATCATTATCATTCTTATCATTACCATCATTCCAAATCATTCGGCTCATCTGTTTAGTGATTTTTGTTTGCAGCCGTTATCATTATTATCAACATTATCATATTTATTATCATTAGCTTCATTATCGTTCTTATCATTTCTATCATTATTATCACTATCATCATGATAAATAATTTTGATTTCCCACCATTAGTGACTGTAACTCTTGTATCTTGTCAATGGATGAAGTTGATTCCTCCAGCTTTCTGATCCTCTCATCAGCATTCTTGCATTTCTCTTCAACCTGTGTAACCAATCAGAAATCAAGAAACACCAATTACAACTTGTGCACTTTTCACAAAACCTGCTGGCAATCATTTGCACGGACCTTAGTTTTGACGTTTTGACAGTAATTTGGAACATCAAGTTACCTAACCAAGCAAGCTACCGTAAAACCTCGAATTGAAGCCCTGGGCTTCTTTTGGTTTTTTTAGGACCATTGGATGGGTTTCTTTTTTTTCGAGATGGGCTTCTTTTCGAGATTACTTTTGTAAACTAAAGAGTGGAGGCTTCTTTTCAAAATGAATGCTATCAGTTTTGTAATTGCTACTATACAACATTTTTCAACTATGGAAACCGAAATTTAATTAATATTTTTTAAACTTTAACCATACTAAATACAATAAAATGATACTGATACCAACACACTACAATTATAATCAAAGGTAACGTCAGTCTATATGTAAGTACTCTCACGACAGAAGCATATATTACTACCTAGATTAGAAGCCCATGGGCTTCTTTTCGAGATTTCTTCTGAAACCTGAAGGGGAGGGGGGAGGTATTCTTTTCGAGATTGGCCTCTTCTAGACTAAGCCCATGAGCTTCTATTCGTGGTTTTACGGTATATAATAATTTATTGGTATTGCCACTGACCAAATAGAGTTTAATATACTCTACTGTAACTTAGCAAGTGAGTTTGTGTAATTTTGTCTCTTTATCTAAAATGGTTGGCTCTCTCAAGCCTTATGTTGGAATTGGCATTGACGTCAAAAGTTATTGGTATTTATCGACCACATAGGGTTTAATATAGTTTCTAGTTAATTTGTGTACTTTTGTCTCTTATCTAAAATTATTGCCTTTTTCATGTATTAATGTCGGCATTAACGTCATACAGTGGCCATACAGTATGTACCAAACCATATTCAACAATTTCATTACATATTTGTTTCAAATAAAACACACAGAAAACAAAAAGTTCAAATAGAACATACAATTTTAATACTCAGAGAATAAAGTTGCAACGGCACGACGCAAATTAAGTTACAGCTTCAACCTCTACGATCAAACATTATAAAACTTTGTCTGAAAGCTTTGCCCACACTATGTATGACAAATGTCTTGTGATTTGTCCATAGTGTGGGTGTGATATGACATCAGCATGCCCATATATGGATATGACATAATCATGCGCATATATTGTGTGGGCAAATCATGCATATACTTGTCACATTAAAACTTAATAATGTAGGCAGATCTTAATATCTAACTCACTACAATTTACTTAAGTTGCAGACCTCTACTATAATATGGACTTATGTATTTTGGTATTTACTGTATATAGTGCCTTTCTAAAGGCAAAGCACTTTGTTTTCCCTGGTCTTTGGGTCCCAATGCTTACTAAAGTGTTGTTGCTGCCATATTGGCACAGTAGCAGGCAACCACACCAGGTACCCATCATGTATTTTTGTCTGTCGCCTCACTTCATTACTTGAATGGATTGTTTGTTAATTTTATTTTGTTGTTTTTTTTGTTTTTTATAAATTCATTTTTAAAAAATTTTTATTTACAGTTAAACTTGCCTAAAAGTCGACTGTGCCTTAGTCGAATAAATTCTAAGTCGATCTTATTTTACATGCCAAATTGTTGTGTTTTCCATTAATTAACAATCTTTAAGTCAAATTTTATCTAAGGTCGAACAATATTTCAATGGCATTTTGGATTCGACTTTTTCAGTTCAACTGTATTTTTATTTTTCTTTACAAGTTTTTTTTCAACTTGATTCATGGTCTGCCTACTTTCAGCGCCTTGATATATACAGTATCATACCATTACCAAATAAAATATATTGTACTGTATAATACTATATTATATAAATGAAAACTAACAATTTATTCCTACTTCACTATACCATACTGTAGATAGTAATTGTGACCCTGTTTCTACTTTTTGTGCTTTTATTTTTATGTGTTACAAATTTTAAGCCATCCTGATATTGTCATATGATTGCTGTTGGATGCGATATTTGAAAGAAGAAATTACTTGTGTGGTTTTAAATTCATATTGAATGCATGTTCTTAAATTAATGAATTACAATGAAAAATTGTTAACGTAGTCTATACAACATCACTAATAATCAATTTTAATTTTGTCTCAATTCTAAACCAAAAATGATGAGAATGCGTGTAATCTTTAAAAACAAAAAAGATATTTCTAGGAAACATTCTAGGAAAGATTCTAAGAAGAAAGTGCATTATACAAACCAACTGTAGCCCATGTCTTATTTTATAAGATTTATATAGTGCACATATCTAATTATAGAAGAACTGCCTCAAGGAGCTTTTTCCCTGTCACTGGATACAATCAATCCTACGCAATGTGCATCCTACTACGCTCCCTAGTTGTGCGTAATCAGCACTACTAATTATTTTCATTCTGAATCATTCACTGCCTCTCAGGACACCGGGTCATACTAATTACCGTCAACAACCGTCAACTAGCGTTGTTGATGGTAATTAGTATGCGTGTACAATAATACGAATTACCGTCAACAAGCGTTGTTGGCGGTAATTATGTATGACCCAGGGTACCCACTTATACTCCTGGGTGAAGGGAGGCTAATGCAGAAAATGTTGCCCTTGGACACAAGCAATGTGACGAGCATCAGTCCCGAAAAAAGGACATCCGAATGCTTCTACAAAAGCCATCATATGGCTAAACCATAAAAAAAAGCCTAAAGCTAATAATAACTAAAGGGAGGTACAAGTATTAATTAACCCCTTCAATAACAAATTAATTTAAACTTTAAAAAAAAAAAAAAAAAAACATTAAAAATATAGCAATTAACACTAATAATAATTACACTTACAGCAGATAACAGAATTCTTTTATCAGCTAGAAAACTAATACAGTACGTTCTAAAAGTTATTATACTGTATAACAATGAGATAGTTCATAGGTTTAAGAAACCAATCAATGGCAATATCATGCATAAACAAAATGGAACAATAAGATGATTTGTTAGGGTAGAAAACAATTAAAATAATTCTCACCGCATTAATCAGCTGCTTGTAACTGTCCAGCTCTGATTTCCAACTAGATGTTTGGCCTTTGAGGTCATTGACCTCTGACATCATATGTTCCATCATACTCATAAGCTATTGGGATAAAATAATTGTAAATCTGTGAAACCTGAGTTACGTCAATCTAGGTGCCTTATGAATAATCATGCTCTACTAAAACAAAATTCGTTAATGGAAGGACAATAATTAAAAGCAAACCTTCTATTGTAAAATACTCATTAATTAAAACATCACGAAGTATGGAGGAGTACATTCTCGACAGTACTGATTTTGAAGGATCGTCAATAAAATTTAAGCTCCGTTCAAATACACTCCCTCTCAAACAGCGAACTAAAAAATGGTCTAATGATCAGAGTGACACTGGAATTTGTAAGGTGTGCAATGATAATTCCATTGAAGACATTGATCATTTTCTGCTTGTATGCCCAGCTCTTGAAAACATTAGAAGGATGGAAATATTACACTTTAAAAATAATCACTAAACTTTCACCACATTTGGAATAAATTTAACTCTTTAAATATTACAGAAAATGTATGTTTTATACTTGGCAATGAAAATGAATTATATAGAAATGAAATTATTGTGGGAATAGATAAATTTAGCAAATCATTGTCTAAAAACTTGTGGAAATAAAGGTCATTATATTGATTGCATGCCTCTACCTCATAAGTAATCTTTTGTGTTGTTGTGTTTTGATTTGAAATGTAATTTTTTATGTGCTTATCTGTATCTTAATAATGTAATAATTTGTTAACTTTTAAAAAAATTAGTATTACTACAGTACAACTGTACTTGTATAGACTATATATTTTTAATGTTGTTGTTTTATTTTAGGAGATTTTGCTTAAACACCAATACAGTACTGTATACTGTTATTGTATAATTGTTTTGTATAACTATTAGTTTCTTTAGGTTTTTCTCATTGAACACACCAAATTGTTGTGTGCCATGAAACAAAAGTGTATGTTCAGTTGAATAAATAAATAAATACTGTACTTTCATTATTTGATCCTTTGAAATATTAAGCAATATATTTTTATTGATTCTTATGCGGTATTTCCAAATTTTACTATACAGACAGTATATTACTACAATACCAATGATATTTATTTATACAACTAACGTGCATCTTTCGCTGCACATTATTAATCTTGATAATTTCATCCACATCCAATTAACTGTCAGTACTATAAGCCATATTCAGCTGTATAGCATACAACTCAAATAGGCATCCATTTAACTCTTGTGTGGAACCTTGCAATGTCCATTTCCTAACTGGTGCACTAAATAGACTTCGAACTCCAACTTTTTGATTAGAAACAAAGAGCCATACGGCTTCACCCCCTACCTCTACATAAAGATCAAACAATTTTAAGTAGATAATTTCTCATTTTAATTTTTCTATTTTTTTCTATATTTTTCTAAGACTTGCAAATAAAGTAAGCAATAATTGCAAAAAAAAACTTTGCTTACTACTGAATTATTCATCAGAATTTTACTTTAAAATTGATTATCAGCATAGGCAATCATTAACTGACAAAACGTAAAGAAACTGAAGCAGTCACTCCATACTGAATACGAAGGCCGTGTGTGATGGGCGATTTCTTTTATACACAAGGGTAAAAAAGTAGAATTTCTGTGACCTTCATCTTGTTCTTTGACGTTTCCATCCTAAAATTAAATGGTATCTTCCTTCGATTATTATGTACTATTCCGCTAAATATTATGATGATTCATTATTTAGTTTTTGCGTAATCTTGCTAACAGACAGCGGTGAATACATAACTTCTTTTGGTAGAGGTAAGAACTTTAACTACAGTAAGCATACATGAGGCGTGATGGGAAGTATAGCTGACATATCACATTAGTTTTTTTTGTGATTAACAACACTTCCTTGAGAAACATAGCAACAAAATAAGCCCAACTGATAAATCAATAATTGGCGTCTTGTCCTTAAATACAAAGACGTCTTGAAAGCACAACGTTTAAAAGTACAAAGTACATGTTCTTAATGTATACAATCCAATCTAATTCACAAATCAATTTAATCCCATTGACAGATATCAAGAGGACAGATTTATAAATTCATCCTTCTCATCAACAAAAAAGAATAATAATAATTGAGAAAAATGTATGTCCCCATCAGGATTCGAACCCAAGCCCTTTCGATTATGGTACGGTTCGGATACTCTACCGGCTGAGTTATGAGGCCAAGTGGTATACACCTTCGGATATTCCCATTAGAACACATTTATTCTCAATGTATTGTGTAATAGTATGCAACGGATAATAGTAAATCACATGAATTGAAAGTAACTTGGGTATGGTGTATTAATGAAATTATATTATTACATTCTTTTAATATTATATTTTTCTAAATGATATCTCTTATATCTTTTGTGATGTTTTTTGTGTGTTGAGTGCTGCCTTGGAGAGCCACATGATAGTGGCACTTTTGTGTACTTTTGGTTATCCTGAGTTGGCAGCACTCTTTGTTTTTGTTTGTTTTTATTGTCTTTTTTAATTGTAATTTTGATTGTAATTTCAACCCGAAATAAATTTGAATTGAATTGAAAAAGATGATAATATTTGAGAAAAACATCACTCCTGGAAATTATATTTACTTCTGATGATCATTAATTTTTTTTTTTAATTGTTTTTAAACGTTTCTTTTCATTCTTATTTTTTATCATTTTAAAGACTTAGTGCATATAGATTGTCAAAGTTTAACAAATTTATTGTTTTTCTTTTATTGAAAAAAAAATCATTATCTGAAAAAAACCTAAATTGCACAGTAGATTGGTGATAAAAAAAAAAATAAATAAATAAAAAAAAATTGTAATTTAAGTGAATTGAGGGAATTTAAATGCATTGTAATTAGAAATTTATAAATTTAACTGTATTTAAAATGAACAATTGGGACAAATGATAAACAGAAGTTTTTAAACTTCCACTTAATACATTCATTATTATTTGATTACACATATTGATGTGACTATATTTTGTTATTTGTACTGCTTACAACTAGAAATAATCTTTATTTATATGGTACTAGAGTTTGGTAATAAGATCAAATCCAATACCAATTCTATTTTTATAAGTTTAATCTAAAATATTAATTTCAAAATATAGTCTGTAATATATTGAGACTCCAAATATAGGACAGCATAAAAGAGTGTTTGTCATGGTTACCATAGTCACAGATACTACAACAAAAATGCAACGACATACAGTAAATAGAATTTTGTACACACCATTAAATTTCGAACAATAGAGAGAAATATTTTCTGTCTTTCCCTTCAACAAACAAAGGCTACAGTATCTCAAAACATGGCAAAAATAACAATATCTAATTATATACACCAGACTCTTTGTGTTCTACAGGGTGGTAAATGTTTTTAGAATTATAACACTCTGATCACCAGGGGTTTGAAAAAATAGTACCAGCCACCGACTTTTAAGCAAATTTTAACACTTTTCAGAAGATTGTTGAGAGTGCGCAACTGATCAAATTGTCATGTAGCGAAAGAACTACAAACATTTTTAGCTTTACAATGTTACCAAACACTTTATTCTAATCACAGCCTGTGACCGTAACAGTAAAATGAAAATGACTCACTTTTGGAGATTTACACAATTTCGTACAACGAAGCTAAGATAATCGCGATTTCGTGAAAGTACATGTAAATCATAACCTCTCTCTTAATGTAAAACAAACAAATAGTGAAATACTGTACTTACGGTCCAGATTGAATATAGTGTTCAAATTGTTAGTAATGTCGGAAATTACCCCATCTATCAGATTCCATAAAAAAGAACTGAAACACGGAGATCTCTGTGGTTGGCGGTCAAACGTTGCATTACCAAACACAGATATCTCTGTGTTTGGCAGGCAGAGTGCTAAAAGGTTCTCTACACAGTTCTTGGATTAAAACAATGGCATTTGGGGTTCCTTTCAAAACAGATTTACAGTATATTTAGTTATGTCATTGCCACAAATAATCTTAAATGTCAAATAAATGTAGTATATTTATCATAATGCCTAAGATGAAGGCATATTATGCTAGTGCTGTTCAATTAAGCATGTGCAAAGGAATGTGAAAGATCAGTTTCTTTATTCAGATTTGAATTCCCAATGAAGCCCCAGTGGCCTAGTTTGTTAAGGCATCTGCATACAGCAGACAGAAGATCCTGGGTTCGAATCCCGGTTTGCTGGGAAACTTTTTTTTTTTCACACTCAAAGATTCCTCTTTTCCCATTCAAAGACGCATAGTGACTTGAGAGACAGGAGTCCCTACTTTTCGAATAGTGTAGCAAACTTTGAGAACACACATTAGATACAATGTTTATCTTCATGACGATTATTTTTCATTATCTCAGTTGACAATCGTCATGACGATAACATGTATACATTTCAAAGTTGAGAGATCCAATCAGAAAACACCTGATTATTCACCTGACTGAGTTACTTGTTACCAAGGTGATCATAATATAACGCCAACAGCTGGTTGTAAAATTAGCCAATGGTGTTGATTAAGGTGTTAAATCTTATGAGGGTGCGATTTTTTTCTAAGTGAGTGATTATTATCTGTAGCATACATTTCAAAAGAAAGAATAGAATAAATACATGAATCAGGTAAACAACTTGTGGTATACCACCACATATGATAAGATCTGAAGAGAACATGAAAAATTATATAAAATAATAAATTTTTTCAATTATAAGGATTACAAAACATGGAAAAATTCTAGTGGAAGTCAACCAATAATATACATACTGTTTGTAACTTTTATATTTAAATTTAGTATTGGCAGGTTATGACTTTTTACCACAGAAGTCCTTAAAAATAAATACTATCTAGTGAATTTAAGGACACATGCAAAGAAAACAATTGTTTCCATATTGAAACTAATTTTGTTTTTAACTCATATAAAATAAAAAACTAAGATGTCAAGACAGATTTTCTTATTTTAAATTTAAAAAAAAAAAAAAAAAAAAAAAAAAATTCAATACGCAAAGTGAAAATACTGTAGGCTACCAAAGTTCATTTTCTATAAAATGTGGTGTCTAGTTGTAAATTTAGATTAACATTATTCCATACTTCATCTGCATTAGGCCAAAAAATTTCATGTTCACATAATTTAATTATCTTATCTTATTTAAAGTTAATGATTCAAGATTCAAGAGTTTTATTGTTCTGTCATCCATTTAGATCTCCACTTCAAACTAGGCCCTACTTATGAATACGTAAAAATAACATCAAAGTCAACAATCAATCATTATCATGATGGTCCTACCATATTTATTATGCTTTCTATATCATATAGGACTTTCAAGTTTGTAACGTTAATTGGGGGAGATTATGGAGGGGTGAAGAGAAAGGATCCCAGGCCATTATATGATGGTAACAAACATACAATGACAGATGTAAAGTATATGACAGAAATATAGTATATGGCAATACAATTTATAACATGAATAATATAAAATATTTAAATTATAGTTTGCTGCATAGCAGCATAAAACAAATAATAATAAAAAAGATATGTTTATGTTTTTTGATATTCTCTATTGTTTCTCTTGTGATTTTAATGTTTTATGCGAATTGGACCCTCTGGGAGAACAGTAACATGTTACTGAAGAGCCCAGTATAAAAAAACAAATAAATAAATAAATAAAATAATTATGATAACAGTGCTCCAATATACCGTAGGAACAAATATTGTTGTTATTTGAGCAAAATTATTATTAATCTCACTATACTACAGTAAGTCGATACAAAGTTACGAGATAACTATATAATCATAATTGATAAAAGTAGCATTTCCAGACAGTAAATTTTAAGCCTCCACTTATTTTTAATCAAGGATTTAACAGGCATAATGACAGATATATTGTAACTGATGTGTTGTACAAGTGTTTAAGCTGTTCTTTTTGACCACTTTAAGTACTGATTTTCAGTTGTAAGTATGGTCTAAGTACAGAGCTCACCCATGCCCAACCTGAGTTGATGACCATTTATTATGTTTCAAGGGCGCATGATGCATTACCAGTCAGCGTGAATGACATCAGCAGCAGTAGGGCTACTTAAACATAATTTGTGTTAAAAGAAATTTATGTGAATGTGATGGTGCACCAATATGAATTAAAAACTCTCCCCATGAACCCTGTCAAAATTTTTTATTCCAGGACCCTGATCGAGGATCTTGTCAGGCCCTTGGTTCAGACCTCACTATCAGACATGTGGACCCCTCGCCGGCAAATTTCTGGAGCCACCACTGCCCATGGCGCCATTGGGATCGGACCAATAAATAAAATGGATTCGTATTATATTTATTCTTATGTAATGTATAAAAAAATCATTCATTTTCATTCGAAATTATTTTCCCTTCTAAGAAAGATATCACCGATGTGCTAAACAGATATACATCTGTGTAGGACAATCCATATATATTATAAAAAACTTTAATGATGACAATCTTGAGATGACACCCTAAACAAAATTTGGGACATCTGATTTCTCTGATGAGAAATTCATTCATTCATCGTAGTTTCACATTTTATGAATTAAGTGGATCTGCACGACGTGTTTTTTTCCCATATTTACTTTATTAATAAAAGAAAGTATGTAATGAAAACATTATGGTTATGGTTTAAACGTGCCTTAGTAATTCAGAATCATGTTACTATTAGGACTACTGTATGAAACATTAATTATATATAAGTATTTACCTTTGATATTCCTTCTTCATTTGCAACTACTTTTTTCTGAAGTTGCATTAGCTGCCACATTTCAGAAACTGGTTTAACACTTTCAGTTGAAGAACTTCTAGTTCGTTCCAACAAGTTTTCATTCGATGGTAATGCATTTAGCGACTCAATTTGTGTTTCCAACTTTGATAATTTTTTCTCAAGTTCCTCTTGGGACTGGAGAACAGTCTTACTTTGTGAAATACCACTTCCATCTTGCAAATCTGACTGAGAAAGTTCAGTTTGCAAGTCTCCGAGGTTTAGATTCTCAACTATCACAACCAGCAGTCGGCGGAGAGCATTGTAGTTGACCACTTCTGGTGTCCCTAAGGACAAATCTACAAGTTCCACGAGACTGACAGTATTGGAAGTCATATTAAAAGAGTTCTTTTCGGTTTAGAAAATTGAAACACTTCTCTCATTTTAACTATGACAAAAGTTAGCCCTGATTATGTCAGACTGATGTACATTACCGTTGCCCACCACGTCTCCCCGTCACAACAAACAACACAGGAAGTGGCCGGCGAAAGAACGACAGACAGAGTGATTGTACACATGTTAAGTTTACTTATATGATTCCGCCAAAGTTCTGTCCATAGCTAAAAACAAAAATATAAGTTACAACGTGCAATAAAATATATTTTTCTAATATAAAATAATCTAAATAACTATATTTATAATTGAAGTTTCAAAATTGTAATTCAGGTGAGGATATTTTAATAATAATATTGACGATCTACTTTAGAAATCTATCATAGTAACAGGTAGGTAAAACGGCCTAGCAACAGAGAGCGTCTCAGAATGTCAAGGGTCGTGCAATTTACAATTCAACAGCGCCATCAACGTTTAGCAGCACATGTTGGCCACGAAAAAATGTAAACAAAAATATAAAATAATGCGAATCAACGAAAAGTGTCGAATTATTGGTAAACGCGTAATTCTTGTACCTTATAAAGAAAGTCATGTAAGTAGGTAAGTATTCAAGACAAAAAAGAAACATAATTACGAGACAGCTAGAGTAGATGATGCTGTTAGCCCTCATCAGTGATCAGTGCTAAAACCCACGCTGGATATGGCCCGGGTAACCTGCCTAAGTTAAGCTGGCCTATGCCTAGGTAGGTTAGGAAGGATATGCGGCGGCCTAGCTTAAGCTTAGCAAGGCTGCATCTACTAGTACTTAGCAGATTGTTCCAATATATTTAAATGGAAATTCATTGACAACAACTAGCAAGTTTCTTGAGTTTAATTTTCATTTATTGTGCATTCCTCAAATTTTAAAATTAAATGTAAAGTTTAATTACCAAGTTTGAATATGTATCTACACTACAGATATCATTCATGGATGATGTCAGAAGAACTGCAGGAACTAACAGCCTCGGAGCCCTTGACCCTGGAAGAGGAATACCAGATGCAGAGGAGCTGGCATGTTGACGAGGATAGTAAGGCTACTATGCGTAAAAAAAGAAAAACAGTTGTTGATCAGCCTTTTTTTTTTTAAAGTCGGTACAGAGGGAAAGACGATGTTTTCATGAGTCTTAGCAAAATTTTTAAAAAAAATAAAGTGGTCGGGTGGGAGAGAATGATCAACACCTATTTTTTTCCATGGCCTGAGTATGAAATGTGTTAATTTCATTATAATTTTCTTTGATGACTTACACAGGTCAAACGACAGCTCTTTTGCATCATGCCGATGATATCAGTTAACTCCGCTGCAATGTGGAGGTAACTCTGTAGATCATCGCGATTACTGATCCAATATTCAAAGTTATTAACACCGTTTACACGGCTACTTAACACCTATATCATCAGACAAATGCGATCATCACGATGGTGCTGTGTAAACATGGCTAGGTTTAAGTGTGGGTAAAATAAACCTTCGCTTCATTTGGTGGGTTGAATGTTACGGAGGTGTAGGCAGGGGTGCGGCAACCTACAGCCATAATATCGACGCTGTTTCAAACAGAACATTCACCTATGGTTCTGGCGGTTGAACAAGTCTTTCCGGATGAGGACTATAAATTAAAATTGTAGGTTCTGTGTACAAAATGGCTCATGTGCACTATAAAGAATCCAGTACATCTTTCGAGATTAGTAGGGGGTTACCCCGGTATAATACTCGTCCATATAGCTCCCTGTTGTGGACAGATGAGAGTAGCAGCTTGTACCGGTTTACCAGCCAGCTCAGACATGAAGAAACTCTTAGGGGCAGGAAGGTTACTATGTGAGCTACTGTAGTCCACGCTTTGAGTGCTCTGGTCTTCATGAAATAGCGCTATGTAAATGATGGTTAAAAGAAAAAAATAAAATAAATAAATGTATAATCATGTTATAATAAACAAAAAGTGGGGGTGTGGTGGTAACTTACCGTGAATACATTATTTATTATTTTTCAGAATGTACTTTCATAGTCTTAGATAAAGTTAAACGTCAGCAAGAAGGAACAACTGAAGAAGGTTAGTACATCCACTCCGATTAAGACCTGTCTCTTATACACATCTTTCTTGTACCTTATAAAGAAAGTCATGTAAGTAGGTAAGTATTCAAGACAAAAAAGAAACATAATTACGAGACAGCTAGAGTAGATGATGCTGTTAGCCCTCATCAGTGATCAGTGCTAAAACCCACGCTGGATATGGCCCGGGTAACCTGCCTAAGTTAAGCTGGCCTATGCCTAGGTAGGTTAGGAAGGATATGCGGCGGCCTAGCTTAAGCTTAGCAAGGCTGCATCTACTAGAATAGCAGATTGTTCCAATATATTTAAATGGAAATTCATTGACAACAACTAGCAAGTTTCTTGAGTTTAATTTTCATTTATTGTGCATTCCTCAAATTTTAAAATTAAATGTAAAGTTTAATTACCAAGTTTGAATATGTATCTACACTACAGATATCATTCATGGATGATGTCAGAAGAACTGCAGGAACTAACAGCCTCGGAGCCCTTGACCCTGGAAGAGGAATACCAGATGCAGAGGAGCTGGCATGTTGACGAGGATAGTAAGGCTACTATATGTAAAAAAAGAAAAACAGTTGTTGATCATCCTTCTTTCTTTTTTTTTTTTTTTTTTAAAGTCGGTACAGAGGGAAAGGATTTAGGGGGGGGGGGCCGGCCCGGCCCTCCCCCTTTTGGGAGGTAAAAAAAAAGGGGAAAAAAAGAGAGAAAAAGAAAAAAATGATAGCCCAGAATGCCTCGAATGTTATGTTCGGGCGTCTAGAACACAAAAATTTCGCGGGGGCGTGCCCCAGACCCCCTACGACAGTGTTGTCTCAATTGGCCCAACTTTCGGCCCCCGCTTCCGGCCCCCCTTTTGGACATTTCTGGATCTGCCCCTGAAGTGGGTGTGTGGTGGTAAATTACCATGAATACATTATTTATTATTTTTCAGAATGTACTTTCATAGTCTTAGATAAAGTTAAACGTCAGCAAGAAGGAACAACTGAAGAAGGTTAGTACATCCACTCCGATTAAGACTCCTTAAAATTATATATGAGATGTATTAGTTAAAATATAAAATGTAATAAAACAGGTAGCAAGGTACCTCTTAATCCATAAAACTCTTTTCAACCTGTAAAGAATAATATCCTCGAGGAGAGCTGATCATTTGTAAACACTTGTTCTGTATTTTATGCAAATGGAGTGGAGTTTTTAGTGGTAAGTAAAATCCTTATAGACATAAATCATTTTAAGGCCCAACTGACAGATCACAATTAATTGTAGCTATATTGCTATAATAATTGCATAATATTGAGAAACTCATTGGCCTCAGCAGGATTTGAACACAAGACCTACTGATTTCAATTTGAGTGCTCAGCCAGCTGAGTTTTTACTTTATTAAGAAAAAGAAAAGTTTTAAATCCCAATCAAGACCCAACGCTACATTTCGGTTGCTGTACCAGCTGAGATCTTCATTAATGAATTCTCTTTGTCCGTTAAAGTTATAATATGAATACTAGAGCGCTAACTCAAATGCATTCGATGTTCGAAATATGCAGAGCTGTGTGTATTTACTCAACAAGATGGCTGCCGTACATCCAGTCAAAATATGCCTATAAGCATCGTTTTGAATGGGCCCCCCTCAATTTATCCTTGAGAATTTTGATTACAAAAATAAAACTCATCGTTGCTGTGTTGCATTGTAGCGCATATGATTTCGATTTTCATTGCTCATTACTTTGTTTAATATCAGATACTCCACTTGACCTCTTTTTGGCTATGTTATTTTCATAATTTATTAATATTAGTAATAATAATGATTACTGAAATGATAGCTAGTCAGAGGGCTTATTTTTATGATTATTATTATGTATACTGAGCCTGAAGGTGCCACTTTCCCACGGCAGCCATCTTGTTGAGTACACATGCATAACTCTGTGCTTCGTCGCCCAGTCAGTTCTAGTTGTTTAATAGCTCTATGCTCTGTCCAAAGTATAAAATAATTGTATGTGATAAATTTGTGTGGTGTGCCCATAAATGGGTATGATGATGTCATATTACACCCAAATATGGCATATCACATTTATTTGTCACATACAATTTGATAATGTGTACAGACCTATATTTTGTTTATCAGATTGTATGTGTGGTGATGTGAACCTGTTTTTAAATGATCAAGATGACAGAAGTACAGCAGAAGTTGAGATCATGATCGCAGGTTAATACTATAATGATTATATCAACATTGCACTGTAGTATATGCGCTATGTTTAAAAATTGTTCCATTACCCATGTACCGGATGAAAGGAAAGTAGCTAAAATTGTGCCAATCTATATAAGTGGCGATGGTCAAAATATTGAAAATTATCGTCCGATATCAATTCTACCTTGTTTTTCGAAAGTATTAGAACGTGTACTTTATAATCGTCTTGAGACGAATAACTTTCTATCATATAAGCAATTCAAGGCAAAACTGCCCCACTGACCTAGACAGGATTACTGCAGCAATAGATAATAATGAATATACACTAGGAATATTCTTGGATCTATCAAAAGCATTCGATAAGCTTGATCATGATACTTTGTTAATAAAATTAAGCATGTACGGTATACGGGGGAATGTACTACAGCAGCTAACTGTATTTAACAACATTGGTCTCCCACAAGACTCTATCTGGGGACCACTATAATTATTTATTGTGTATATGAATGACCTTGCTATGTTTCAAAAGATGATACAAGCCTCATTTACACAGATACAGATGGTAATCAAGCTGCATACGTTATTGTTTATTTTTGTTTGTTTATTTAATCGTTATTATTATTATTTATTTATTCATTTGGCATTACATAATTAATAGTGAGCTCGGTAAGGTATCACGATGGCGATGGACTAATAAACTTTCATTAAATATTAAAAAAACCTTGTTGTGCCTAATCTGTGTACTGAAAAAATAATGGCACACGGTCAATCCACTTAGCTTAGCCAAACAAGGCCTGGCATCATAGGCCTCGTATGGCATACCCATTAATCAGGCCGGCCTGACCGCTTCCAGTCTGTCGGCGGGAATTTAACACATCCCCTACTCTGGCTCATGGTCGATAGCCTCCAGTTGTTTCAGACTAGCCAATCGAGGTCAAATGATCTGCTTGAGTTGGCTCGTTGCGGCTGGAAAATAACATTCTAAAATCCGTATCTTCTGATTTACATCACATATGACACTATAAATTCTAATTTTTTTTATAAATAATTTTATTGCTTTGTTTTTTTCAGAGAAATTATGTAGAGGCAAAGGATTTGGAAAGGAAGCATTGTTGCTCATGATGCAATATGGTAACAATAATGTTGAAAAATATAATATATGAGGTTGATAATGAGGAATGTATGTTGTGGATGAGAATTGTACAGGACACAAGTAGATGGTTTCAGTTTGATGGGGGTGGGGGGCCTTCACCCTGCAGTGGGCTGACAACAGCTGAAATAATAATGATACAGTAATGGTGGTTTAGTCCTTAAATTAAGGTCCTGGGAGTATTACTAACAAGAAAATCAATTCCGCTGGCCAAGCCTAAAAAAGAAATTTACTCATTGAGCATTTTGTATGAATAGATTACCCCTTTATGATGCAGTGGGGAATACATAAGTAAAATTGAATTACAATTTGTTTACATTAACAATACCTTTCACTTCCTTTTAGGTGTGGAGAAGCTAGACATTAAGAAGTATACAGCAAAAATTGGTTCAAAAAATACACCAAGTCAGGAGATGTTTAAGAAGTTAGGCTTCAAACAGGTAAAGTATAGTATTTCCTTTAAAATTTATGGCTTTCTGACATTATTATAAACATAGCCTTTTCAACTTTTGCCATCAACCTTACAAATGGTTGGGGTAAGAAAGTCATGCCATGAAAGAATTATGATTTGTATGTACACTAGTTAACTGTGAAATAAAAGGAGGGAAAAAATGATAGAGGTATAATTATGCAAATTAGAAATTGTGTTAAAAACAGTTGGATTATTATATTAAAACATTCCTGCTTGTTTTTAGGTTTCATTCAGTGAAGTCTTTCAAGAAGTTACCCTAGAGTTTGGCCTTGAGGCTGCTGAAAGAGGCCAGCTAAAAGACTCAACAAAACACATGGAAATTTTAGAAGATTACATAGAGAAAAGGTGACATCTAAAATTCAAACCAAGGTGTCATAACAGAGATGTAAATCAGATCTTGGTGAGAATACGTAGGCACCGCATAACACAGCAGGGAAAAGAAGACAATTATTTCATCAGGGAACTATGCTTTGAAAGTAAACATTTATAGTCTGAGATTGATATTTCTCAAGTGTCTATGCTTCTAACTTACTCCATCTGTGCTGGGGCTAAGTAGTTTTGGGAACCCTGTGAGGAACCTTGAAACTCACGTCAGGGAATATCCGGCACCGCTACAGCTTCAATTTTGAAGAAGCCGCATCAGAAAGATTTAGTAGGAGACAAATGTAACTCCCATAGAATGCACATAATGCATATTTATATTCTACGCACAGGCAGGGCGGCAGTGTTTTTATTCTAAATGCGTTTGGCCTAGCCAATAAATTTACTAATAATAATAATAGTAGTGTAGTTTTATATAGCACACATGTCCATCTAATGCAAGATGCTCAGGGCGCTTGTTATGTGGACTAGGAACTCGATCATTGACTTTCTTCGCCCCTAAGAGTCCCTTCGTGTCTGTGCTACCTGGTAACCCGGTACCAGAAACTCTCGTCGTCCACCACTGCTTACTGCTTATGAACTATAGAATTATCTCTTTATTATTGATTTGGAAGGAGTAATTGTTTGTTACTTTAATCAGAGTAGGCTTGTATTTTACTTAAAAGATGTATTGTCCCTTGCTAATGTCAAAAAATCATAAAAAATAATTTTGAAATAAACTTGTTCATATTGCATTAGCATACAAATTATTAACTTGTGCATAAAAATTAATGAATTTAAAATATGTGTACCCTTATTTTTAAACTAAAAAATTGAAATAAATTTTTTTTTAAATACATTAATTTCTATGTTCAAGTTGATATCTTTTATGTTACTTCAAAATAGGCAAGTTAATTTCAACAAATATTTCTATGATTTTTTTGGTATTTAGCATCTTTAACATAAATCATGTATTTTGTTTCCTCAAAAATCATCAGTTACAATTTACCTTTTGTGTTTGTGATTCCTTGCTTGGATGTCTCATCATTTTTGTTACACAAACCCTGCCAATACCATATTACCTACTGACAATCTTGATTCTGATTGACTTTCCACTATTATCCACTAATCACCAGATCCGACAGAACTAAGTTATTATTTTATAGGATTTATATATAGCACACACATCCAGAAAACTGCTCAAGGTATTTTTACCCCCTGGTCATTGGATACAGAATTAATCATAAACAACATGCAACCTCTCCCTGTGGAGTATTCCTAGATATGCGTGTAATCAGCACTACTCATTAGATTCCTACCAGGTACTCCTCATCAACTCTTATATTTTAAATATACAGCAGTAAAAACATGCATATATTTCAAGTTTGCGGGATGACTTTTCGCTGGAGGTTTTTGCTTTGATAGGAAAGAAAAATGAAAGGCTTTGGGATTACAAATGAATTAAATACCCTTGTATACCAAATATACAAACAATAAATAGAATTAACAATGGTATGCTGTTATGTACCAACAAAGCGCTTTTGGGCTCAGGGTGTTAGATCGAGGACCCAATGGGTAGGAGCAATTTGAGACCCCTAGGGGGCTCTCGTGGGCCGCCCTCATTAGTCATTTACGGTAATGACTGAGAAAGAAAACAAAAAACTACAACTACTTTTTTATAATGAAAATGTTTATTAAGTATAGAATTGCCTTTATAACATGCATACAACAAACCCAGAGATAAGCTTTGCATGGCTATTATAACTGGACATGCAACCGTTAAGTGCAATGACCTATGTACGGTGACTTAAATACCAGCCAATTTACACATGCTATCTAGGCCCATAACCAGAATTCCTAAAAGGGTGACCTAAAGGCTGAGGGGCACTTTGGAGCCAAAAATTCCCTCGTTAGGGGCAGAGTACTCAGGAGCTGGGGCAATTGTAGTATTTGCATTTGCCTTCTTTCCTTTGTATTATGTAAGTTTATTGCTGAATTTGTAAGTTATTTACTTATTTAATTCTATTATTGCTGAATTTGTATAATTATTATTACTTTGTATGCTAATTGTTTATTATCTTCTGCAATATTATATTCTCTAATGTATAACTTACTTTTCATTACATGTTATATTTCATGGAAGTTAATACATGTTCTTTTGAATATTAAACTGAATTTTATCATCATGTTGATGCAACAGAGGGGATGCTTTGGATTATCAGATGTCATAACCACAAAATGGGGTTCAAACCATTGAAACCCAGCTGGTTACGGGCCTGCCATCAATATTTATATAGCTTTAATATAGTACAGAGTTTAGATCAACTTTAAACAGTTCCTACCACCAACAACAGCACTGTACTTAGTATCAAGTTAGTTATACTTATATATCGCCTCAAACAAATATGCTAAGTATTTTAATAACATACCTACCTATAATAATAGTTAGAAGAGACTACGGTTGTTAGGAAAAATTCCAACTAATAGAACTAAATTCTATGGAGTACAGAATCATTTTTTTTTTTTAAGTTTTTATGTTACATTAGAAGTACACACTATTTGTTTTAAATTGAAATATACACAGGGTCAGTTAATTATACATCAATATTATTTGTATTTAAAAATTTCAATTGTGAATGGCCATTGGACCTTTCTCGAGTGTCAATCAAAACTAACAACTGGACAAACAGAACAAGGCCAGGAATGCGTGCTTGTTCTACAAACGCATATTTATGCACAATTTTGTGGCAAACCAGTCACTCGTCGCAAAAATTAATTTTTAGTTATTAATACAGAGGTAAAAAATGAAAATTGGAGCTTGAAAATGAGAGCTTTAAAATGGTAAAAGAATCACTTAACATAAAGTCTGAAAAACAATATTTAGGAAATCGGCCGTTAAAGTTTATGATTTTGGGTATTTCTCGGGCAGAAACCATCATTATTAAAAATTGTTGTTTTAACATTGAAAATGGGGAAAATAACAGCAGTCATTACCCATCCATCACTGGCTAGCAGACAATAAGAAATTTTGATTGCTCTATAATTATACATACGAGATCACCAAATTATTATAAATTGTTGTTTTAACATTGAAAATGGAGAAAATAACAACATAGCATGATATATCTATATAAAGGTTAGTTTAGTGTAACAAAATAGATTTCAAAAATTTTGACATTTCAGCTGGTTTTGACCATTATCTGTGAAACACGATTTGCGATGAGTGACTGGTTTGGCTTGTCTTTTGCCATATTTACCCTACTGTTTTTGGGACCTTTGGGACAATAACCAAATGGCGGGGTCTACTCGAAAGGTCCATAGTGTGATTCGGTTTCATAAGCCGAGCCAGGTACAACTATATTGTAGCACATTTTACACAAACCTTATACTGAAATACAAGGGGAAGTATATACATATGTATTAGTTATAGATCTTACCCACACTGTCAGATATGTCTGTTCAGACTATGAAGTTTTAGGTGACAAATTCATGTGATTTGCCCATATATGGGCATGATATGACATCATCATGATGACCACATATGGACAAATCACATAAATTATTCCATTAAAACTTGCAAATCTGAATAGCACTTCAGACTGGGATGTTAGCATTTTCTATGAAAACTACAAAACTTAAAGGCTTACAACACTAACTATAATAATAATAATAATAATAAACATATCTGTGACAAGCTAAACCAGTCACTCCTCTCAACATTTGATTTTTAGTTATTAGTACAAAGGTCAAAGTGTAAAGAGAGCGCTATAAAATGGAAAAAGAATAATTCAAATCCGACATTTCGTTATGAAGTTACAGGAGTTTAAGCATACAGCATACAAAATATGAGACGGTATGAATGTACAATTTTGGGCATTTCTCGGGCAGAAAGAAACCATCACCAAATCATTGTAAATTGTTGTTTTAACATTGAAAATGGAGAAAATAACAACAGAGCATGATACAGTATACAGATATATAAAGGTTAGTTTAGTGCAATAAAATAGATTTCAAATATTTTAACATTCCAGCATGTTTTGGTCATTATTGGTCCTTGGTCATTACATCTCTAAAATACGATTTGAGACGAGTGACTTGTTTGGCTTGTCTTTGCCACATCGGTAGTTGGCAATTAACATTTACTACTAACACCTCAAAATACTGCAGTTAAATATAAGCAAATATTAACTATGTAATTAGGTGGTATAATCACGTAGAAATAGAATATTATACAAATATTTGAACTAATTCTAGTATACTATTTCATAAATCTGCAAGACTCTATATAATTCCTACCTTAATGCTAATAAAAAAAAACATATTATTTGTGTGTATTGCATATATTGGCTATTATTCCTAAGGCCAGGCCTGGCTAAGAGACTATGGTGGGAGCATATAAAATTCTCACTGACTATATATAAAAAACTATAAGCTATTATAATATATAAATGTAATATGATAAACACACTGCAAAAATAAAACTATTTTCCTTTTTTTTTTTTATAAATGTTTTTATAAAGAAAAAAATTTCTAAACCCTATATTATGATTTACTGTTCAAAGAAATATTTAATTTTTAAGTTTCAAAATAAAATTTTGATGACTAAATTATTCTACAGTATAGTTTTTGAAAGTTTTCAAAATGGTTTTGATTATTTTTATTCGTTTGCTATAATATTTATTTTGAATATAAATATTGCTTTAATATTTAGAATGTTCTGTAATTCCCTGACACGTTCACCATGATTATAATATACTGTTTTCTGTCACTCATGATTCCTGTCCAAATCATTTAAATTACATCATTGTTATCAAATTTAAAATTGTGAAATTGCCAAACAAATTGAAGGTGTGTTCTTTACAATATATAAGGAATAATAACATTCTTGCTACGATATATGCGACTGGTAAAACCCGCCGTTTGTCGCAATTTCTAATTTCGCACAAGCATCCAAAACATTTGAGAAACAAAATATTGGACATTTTAAGTCGTTTGCATTTTATAAACAAAATTATATTGAAGGATATTTCTGCAAAATATCAATCACTAAATCGAACTAAAAAGTATATTAAAATTATTTTAAAATACAAATCTTAATAATACACTATTGATTTTGAAATCTTTGGAAGCTGTTTTCTCAAAACCTACATGGCTGATATCCAATGAAATAAATATTCAAAACTTCACTAATACTCAACCAATTTCCATCAATTCATGCAGAATCTAAAAATACCAAAAACTCAATTTTGAATTTTCCCAACAAAGGGCTGGTTTTTGCCACATCCGGTCACATATGATAAGAAATGCTGACCTTATGAGCTTAATGTAAATTAATATACAGTAATTTTTAATGTTTGTGAGAAGCTTTATTGTAAATAATGGTAATAAAATCTACCACAAGAATATCTTCAGATATTACAGTTCACAAGAGCAAGCTTGATAAGAAGTCACACTATATTCATTCACAAAACAAACTGATTATATACAATGCATAATCGATTATTTGAGCAAATTATCTACTGCAAAGACAAAGTAAATTTTAAACAAATCTTGATACTCGAAGCTTTAACCATTCCTTAAAATCTTTCATATACCAGGTATTATGCTATGCCTTTTTTTACATCAAGCCAAATGAATGAAACAAAATCAAAACAAAAATACTTTCACTGATGCCAAATGGATTTTCTTAGAAGTTATTAACTATACTTTTTATAATGTAACTAATTATTAAAATTATAAGCTGAATCTAAGCAGCTAAAAACAATGTACAAGACTTCGAAAACAAAACAATTTTTTAATGAATGTGCATTCTTTCACGTATCTCTTACAAGCATCTTAGGAAGTGTGTGGCGTAGCTTCTGATTAAAAGACCATTTGTGGCTGATCTAAGAACAGGTACTGAATCCATATTGGATATCCACCTAGCAGGGCTGCTCAGAATATTACTGTAGATGCCAAACAACATGTGACAAACCAGTCACTATATAGAATCCTACCCTTTGATACAGATCTCATTAAATAGATACGCATGAGTATTTCAATTTCAACAATTCAAAACAGAGCAATCTGGATCTCTATCATTGATCGGGATTCAGAGATTGACCCGATCCAATTAAAGCAAGTACACATATAGTAGGTAGCAGATAGGTTTGAATGCTGCTGCAATGATTACTAATTGTGACATTATGGAACGGTCCTATCCCGTGTCCAGCGTAAATTCTGACTAATCTAAACAAGGTCAAGAATACATGCTTGTACCTAAAATATAAATATTGTGTCGCACAAGGGTACATGTTTACATACTGTACGTTTATAATGTTATTTTTTAAGACCATAGCATTGCTATTCTAAGGATCCATATTAGCCTTGAAGCTGAGTATGAGTAACTGTATATATAGTGGATTAATAAAGCGAGTGGAGTATTAAGGTTTATGGCATATAAAATTGTGAAATTGCCAAGAAAAATGATGATGCATCTTTTACAATAATAAGGAACACTGACATTCTCACTATATATAAGAAATGCTGACCTTATATGATTACAATGTAAATTAATATACAATACTTTTTAATGTTTGTAAGAAGCTATATACACGCTTGTCTTACAAACATGTGCGTTGTTCCACAAAGGCACCTGTTTACGTACATTTACACTGTCGTTTTGCAGGACATTAGCAACCATTTTCAAGGGGTTAAAATTCCCCATAAAATTGAGTATTAGTTATATAGCAGCTCGATCCCGTGTACGTTAATGTGAAACTACTAGAGGTCCTCGCATGATGTGCGATATAACACTAACATATTATTACTAATCTAAAAGAGAGCATTAAATTTTCAAAATAAACTTTCAGCATTGTTTACTGTAAATATTCTACTCTTTAAGTCAATTCTGTTTGCACCCATAAGTTGCAAATTGTCAAAAAAAAAAAAATATATGTGAAAGAACTTCATTAACATTTCGTTTAAAATATCACGTAATTATCATTTGCCTATTTTAATTTGCTTTCTTGTTTATTCTTCTGATCTTGCGGATACATTGGTTTATCACAGGCCGCTTTCAGAGCTTCCATCCACGCCTTTTGTTCCTCTGAACTGTCAGCACTGAAGTAGTACTCTCGGTCAGGTGTGATGAGAGAGAAGCTGTTAGGGGGCTCTTCTTGTCTACCTGGTGGGAGACCATCTCGCACAAAGTAACCGTCAAGCTTGTTTCCGAGAAATACCTCCCCTTTGGGATTTGGGTCCTATGCAAACAAGAGAAACATTTCAATAGAAAATTATTTAAAAATTAACACAAAATGCGATCTCGTCTGTAGAGGTAAGGGTATGATGACATTCATTTTTTAAAAGATTATCAGAGGAGGGCAGAAAAAAAATTTAAAAATTAAATTTCATTGGTGAATGTAAACAGTATAGTAATAGCTTAATATATATAATATAAATAACTACAAAAATAACATTTTTTAATATGGCAAGACTTCTTTTTTATAACTTGTTTCGCAAACTTATTTTTAAAAAGATCACCAGAGGAGGGTGGAAAAAAAATAAAAATAAAATTTTGTTATCTTATTTAGTAAATGGTTTTGCCAAAACATCCATATGGAGGAGAAATAAAAATAACATTTGACTGGTAAATGTAAACAGTGTAGTAATGGGATAGTTAAATGCTTTAATTTATATAATTAGGAAGAAATACATATCTTATTTTTTGAGATGTCAAGGCAGAAGTGGGCATAATAAAAATAAAGAAAAACTTTAATTTTTCTGAAATTTTCATTTGTTTCGTGGGGGGGCGGATGCATTATTTTCCCCCCAAAAAAAATTGTATATTTAAAATCATCAATATTGGCGGGCAGCAGGTTTGCTAAATAAATTCACATCTAACAAGAGATGAATATAAAAACAAATTACCACGCTATTATTATTATTATTATTATTATTGTGTATGAACACAATAGGGGTCTCTCATGAGTGTCCCAAAAATATTATACAACCACCAACAATAAATTCACATCTAACAAGTGATAAATATAAAAACAAATTACTACGCTATTATTATTATTATAGTATTATTGTAATAATAATAATAATAACAATAACAATAACAATAACAATAATTATTATTATTATTATTATTATTATTATTATTATTATTATTATTATTATTGTATATGAACACAATAGGGGTCCACAGTCTCTCATGAGTGTCCCCAAAAATATCATACAACCATCCAAAATCCCACAAGCAAAATTCTAACTCATCTCCCCAAATTCATTTTAATATCTCACCAGTGGTTCCGCAAAGTAAAGAAGTCTTCTGCCATCCAGGGTCATCCATCTCTTGCGGTAGGCCTCACTGCCCTTGGGTCCAGTCTTACACAGCCAACCCTCCTTGTGGAAGTCACGACTCAGCTGTGACCTCAACTGCAAGAAAAAAGAAATTCCAGCTTATGCAAGAGTATACTAAGTCAATTTAAAAGCAGGACACACATCTCCACTCGCAAACATACAGTAGTGCATGCGTATATTCCTTTGATCTTTATTGTGGTATTGACAATCCGATAATATTTGCGAGTACAGCCGTCAATTATTAGTCTATGTGTGCATATGGTGTTAGTTACTATTTCATTAATTTTGGGTACTTTGCAATGTATGTTATATCTGATTTCTTTTGACCACAAGCTTGTTCAGTGCTTCTATAAACTACAATTTGATTCGTGAAAATTGACCAACAAAATGAAAAGTTATAGCAAACAAAAATTTACGATATTTCCGATTATTATAAAATTTCATGTTCTTATGTAACATTAAACTGTCAGTTTGACAATGTTGGGCTATGGTGCACAAAACGAATATTTGAGTAGATGCAAAACTGAGTCTCATGAACCAACAAACAACCCTTTCATCGGTAAAATAACGTCGAAGTAACAAATATAATTTCAGTCTAATGTTATTGCAAAGAATCATTAGACCTTTGTAATCACCGCACTAAGCGCGATTATCATGGCACGCACGTGGGTAATTTGTCACACGCTGACGATTAATTATGGTTTGGCTGCTTTGGTTTTTGTGACGATCAAGGCGTGTTCAGTCAAGCGTGTAGGGGCGCGTGATGCATAGAATGTCGATGCCAGAGTTAAACCCTATGATGTCCCGAGATGTGCGTCCTAATGTTGAATTGTCTTGAGTATACCCATATCAAAAATAGCTGGAAGGCTTCACAAAGCAGTGTAGAGTGAAAAAGTGAGGATGAAATTGTATAACTTTTAGGAATGATTTCCCTTTAAGTTAATCATTCATCCTAGTTGAATGACTATGATAGTTTCCTAAGCCACTCGAATACAGAGCAGCTATAAGCACATACAACTATTATGCTGGCAAATTCTCTTGTAACAACAACTTTTGATTTGTAGTCCTGTATGGACAAATTGTAGTAAGCAAAATTTAAATATGCTCCAAATATTACAAAATAGATTAGGTAGAGTTCTGCTCTCTGCTGATATAATGACACCATGATTTATTAAAAGTACTAAATTGGAGCATGCTAAATAAAAGATGGAGGGAACCTCTACTAGTAGAAACTTTAAAATGTATAAATGGTCAAGCACCATCATATTTATTATCAATATTTGCATTCAATGATTCACTTCATCCCAAATGCACCCGTAGTCAAAGTATTAAAACATTATTAACACCAAACTTGAAAAATGTTCAAGGTAAAACAACTTTCAAATTCAGAGCCCCAAACCAATGGAATAATTTACCTGCTCAGATTAGAAAAACTGCAACCGAAAAAAATATCAATGAATTCAAAAATTCCATCTCCATTGATTCAAATTTAATTTAGTTAAGATTTTTACCTTTGTACATTTTCGACTTTTAATTCCTTTGTTAACTTTAACTATTATTACTTTTACTTTACTGTACTTTGTAACTGGACCATTTTGAAGAGCAGTACTACGTTACTGAAAATGCAATCCAGTAAAAAGAAAGAATAAATAATAATAATAAATAATTGGTACTATGCTAGAACAGCGTAATATTGAAAGTTTAAAATACAGATGGCAGTTTAAAAAACAGTCATCAGCCGATTCAGTGGGTGCCTGGCTTAAATAACACATACCTCCTCATCTGGGGTTCCAGGATATGCAACTTTTAGACGGTTGTAATTGGCATGGCGAATTGCATTGTACCATTCAACAATATCCTGAAAAGAGAAAGGTTAGATTAGGGTTTCAATGCCTTGAGCCTTTCGTTTGTGCCTTAGGCCTAAATGAAAGGCACAATGAGGGACTGCCATTCTTCACCCAGGATTACAAGCGGGTATCTAGTAGGTTCTAATGTTGATTACTAACTGCAGCATTATGGAATTCTTACTAGAGGTCAAGGGCTCAGTGGCATATTTAGAAGTCTTGAAATGGGGGCCCCCTTGATGGGGTGTGACAGTAGTTAGGGTCGCCCCCCCCCAAAAAAATTAATTGCAAGTAGTTAAAAATCACCGAGTTAGCACCCTTCAATGAACCCATCATTTTAGAAAAAAAATTTTTTTTTTTGTTACACATCACAACTTCTGTCTCTTATACACATCTGAGATTGTTGATTACAGTAGGTAACATGAGGTGATTTTTAACTACTGATATGATTTTATTTGCTTCAAATATTTTCAATGGGGGAAGGGGCTTGACTGGGTATGTAAGTATTTGAGGCATGTCGTGGCAAAATGGGTAAGTTGTTGCACAGTCCAGTATTGAATAAATGAGCTATAAAATATGGGAGCTGAAAACATTGCCTAAAAATCCAAATTTGTTTTTCACTAAAGATCATTAATGTCTTATTAATTATGTCCCAAAATATTAGTTCTGAAAGTAGTCAACAAATTGTTTATTTACAGTTATTTTGAAAGTTCATTCTACTAAACAATGTACTGTATACACAAATAACTTAGAAAGGCAATTACTCAAAATCATGTTTATCTTGACTCTAAGAGTATTACTGCACTTTCATTTTCCAATAACTTAGGCTTGAAATGTCCAAGATGAATAAATGACCCCTCATTTTAAAGATCACATAGTCAGGTATCTGAAAATACCAATAACTTGAATTTCAATTATTGCTACAACTTAGCCATTTTGCCACAACATGCATAATTTTTTTTTGGGGGGGGACCATGCTTCACCTGCACACACCCCGTTGGAAGGGCTTAGAGGCCTTGTTGTACAAATGTAGTAATAGTATGGACATAGAAAATAAACAAATTGTGAAATCTAGGATTATTTTAAAGCCTATAAATTTCTTACCTTTCCATCGTCAGTATAGAGATAGATGTTACGCGTTTGGCCCTCTTTTACCCAAGATATCTGAAGTCCATTGGGATTTCCAATCTTATCAGGAACAAACACGGCATTTAAATTGGATAGCTTAATAGCAGCCTTTGGTTCCTTAGCCTTCCGAGAAAAAATATCATTTACTCATTATTATAATTATAACTAGAACAGTGACTACGTAGAGTGCATACATCAACCATATGCGTATACCAACAATATGCAGGCCGTGGATGATTGGCAATAGCATTATTTTCCGCCCTGTGGTTGAATATTCGGGCACATCACTTTCTTGAGTGCTGCAGCATACCCTCAAGAAAATAATGGAATTGCCATCGTACATTATACCTCTGGCTTGTGCCTGAATATGATGGGAGATGCCATTTTTTTCTTTTAATCGTCAAGGGTAAACACATTGAATTTCTGTGACCTTGACCTTTTCTTCCAAAAATTGAATAGTGTCTTTCTTCAATTATTATATACCATTCCCCTAAATTTTATGATGATCCATTCATTAGTTTTTGTGTAATCTTGCTAACAGGCAGATAGACAGTGGTGAATACATAACCCATTTTGGCCGAGGTAATATTATAGTGCCAGATCCTGAATTCCGTAAAACAACCATCATCATCGTAGTTACAAAATATTATAGCGCCATACAGGGCTGGAAAAAGGTGCGTGACTGCTCGACTGGCCGTCGGAGGCATTGAACCCATCATTTTAGAAAAAAAATTTTTTTTTTTGTTACACATCACAACTTAATGCATACTGGTAATTAAATTTGATATTTATGCTTGCTCCAAAACAACTAAATGTACTACTGTTTAGTTATAGTAGTTTAAAGATAACATTTGGTGCAGGAGGCATTTGATCAAGATAATTTTCATGGTCCCAGGCACCAAAATATTTTTTCCAGGCCTGGCACCATATGTATTTTTTTTTTCTGATGTGGTGGTACGAATACAAATCATGTTTGCAATTAGCCCAAAATTTTGAAATTTCTAGGGGAATTCCCAGGTATAGCCTAGCAACATAAATTATGACCAGGAAAACATTAGCCTATCACATTCCTTTTACTGAACCAGAGAAAATCACTTATAAATACAATGTTCCTCAAATGAAAAAAATACTGTAAACTGCTTTCATGAAATCAATTGTGATGGCAATAGTAAAAATTTAATCTTAATCATAATCTATATAAAGTTTAAGGAAATTAATAATGCAGTACAGTGTATGCTTAGATATTATATAAACAAGGATATGGTCTACAATGTTGAATCACTTATTGTAAACTAAAGGGCAGTACACAATGATTTCTATTTTCCCATGTACTTGATCATTTGATAGTTTATGTCACTGCCTTATGTATTTTATTATATTTTTAAAAAGTATCAAAATACATGGTATATAAAATGCCAAATTCATATCAAATTTAGAATTAAAAATGTGGAGAAAAATAGATGTTCCCTGATGAGCTTTCAAGTTTCTGTGGATTATGCAAGACTTTAGATTAGAAGATTATAAAATTAGGTACAATGTTATCAGAAAAAAAAAATAGGCATGTTAAAATTTGTTTTATCGACAGGTAAAACAAACTAGGAAAGACAAGTAAATCTTTGCCCATGTAAAGCCTTGACAAGTATAAATATGGTCATTATGACATCACATGATGACTTAAAGGTGCATCATGTCTATACAGTATATGGCCACACAATAGTTTGTTAATGTAGACAGGGCATAGGACAAGGAAGGTGTTCACTAATTAAAATTTTATCTTTGGTGATAATTTTATGTGAATAAATTTGACACCAAATTAATCATGCCGGTCAGTACAACCTTTAATAGGGAGCTTGAACGTTGCATAACGATGAGACTTTAAAACGAGTTCACTCATGCGTGACCATCCTATGTTCTCTGCACAACATGGATTTGGTCAAACCTACGTCTTAGAATCCACATGACGAGGAGAAATTTCTCGCATGCACAGATGAAATATTAGTGACATCGTTCTAGATTCTACTGCATTGTGTAATCAAAAACTCCCTATTATTTGAGTTGAAACATGAACAAACACTAAAAAGATCGTCACAATTTAAACACTCCTAGTTGTCAACAATGAATTGCAAATCTTGTGTCTCAAAGTAGTATAATTCACCGTCCATACTGTCACAGAGAAACTGTTGTATGCCCATGTATGCTCATGATGTGACTATATATGGTCATGATATGATATCATTATGACCATATATAGGCATGCCACATGTTTTTTTTCAAATTTAGACATATAACAGAAACCCTGGGTCACTATTTCTTTGCTGTTTAGTGCAGGACATAATAATATGGGTTATTATACAGGAATACCTCGTACATAGATTCTAGATTAGTTAAAAAGCGTTCAATAAAAAATTCCCCTAAAAAATAGTACACATTAACAAACTGTCTTTAAACTTTTATTATTCTAATTAGAGACCAAAGCTGCTAAAGACCATGAAAACCCCAGTCCCAAAAATGGTCTTTAATTGGAGGGAGACCTGTATTTTATTTTACTCAAAACAAGAAGGTATGAAAACAACATATGAAGTTTTACCCAGATTATCCTTGACACAAAATGTTGCAATATGCCCATATATAGTCATGATATAATGTCGTCATGACCGTATTAACTAGGCATGTCGAGCTTTTAGTCAAATAAAATTGGGTACTGTATTTTGGACAAGCTTAAACGCAAAATTACTGTCATTTGTAGGGTTGTAATTCTGTATACTGTAATAACATTCTAATAATAAACCCACTGGGATAATATTAAAGTAGTTGGTCATTATTAAAGACAAACATTTGAAGTGGCTCACCAAATAATAGAGTACTGTGTTTTTTTTTTTATTAGAAGTTTTACAGTAATTGATATTGATACAAATAAAATCAGCTCTATACAAATGTTTGAGAGTTGTAAATAGTACAGGGAGAGTTGTTTTCAACTAGTTATATTTATTCCATAGCTAGCATTGTACAGTATTACATCACATTAGGTATATTAGGTAAAATTAATGATAAATACTGTTTTTTGTTTTGATGAGTGGCTTCAATCATCATCATGAGAATAACATAACACATTACAATCCTTATCAGAACACAAATATTTGTGATGAACTGCAAAATTGTTCATTGTTACTTCTATCCATTATGCAAATCTCCAAACAATTACTTCATTTTCAAAAACATAGATTCCCTTTCATGTATCATTAGTCTACTATTAAAAACGGATTTGGTTATTTTTAGATTTCTGGGAAAAATTCCTTGTAGCGTAATAAATACTTGAAAGCATTGCTTGAATCATGGAGGTTTAAAAATCTATTTTTATACCTCCAACTTTGAACTCTAGGAGCCAAATGGCCAAGCGGTTAAGGCAGGGGCACCGTGATCATAGCCAACAATACCGGCACGGATTCGCGGCCGGCTCGCTCCTATAGTTCTGGTGGCGGAACAAGTCTTCTCGGATAAGGACTATAAACCGTAGGCTAAGTGTACACAAATGCTCATGTGCACTTTAAAGAACCCAGTACATCTTTCGAGATGAGTAGGGGGTTACCCCGGTGTACTGGTTCACTCGGCCCCTGTCGTGGACAGATGAAAGTGCGCCGGTTTACAGGCTGCGGCGAACATGAAGAGACCCTCTGGGGAGGAGAAAGTGATTGAAAAGTGCAACATCTAGTCCCAAGCGCATAGACCTCGTTATTTGCGCTATATAAATAAAGGAAAACTTATTCCTCCATGATTAGACTATTATTATTATTATTTATGAGGAGTGGGGCCCAGCTGGCTACACACCACACAAAAAAAAAGAAAGAAAAAAAAGGAGATAATAAGAGAATTATATTCAAATCTGGGAGTGCCATTTCCTGCCATCTACAGGTGCCATAATCATTTGTAATACCTCAGCCCCAACCATGGTGGGGTTGAAGTGGTATAGTCTCTCCATCTTTGAAAGATCCTTCCTGGTCCCTTATTTAAAATTCCTGGATCCACCACTGCAAGACATCTATCATCATGAGAAGTTGTACTATAAATATTACAAGTACTATGTTACAAGTGGTAGTTTAAATAGACAATTATCAAAGCCACTTTGAATATTGAAGTAGGGAATTTTTATAAAATTACATCATTTTTCTTGCAATATTTCTAGGATACTGGGACTTAAAATAGATTTTCTAAAACCCTAAGTATTTTAACAATTTAGTAAACAATGCATTCTGATATTGTAATAATGCCACATGGCAATAAATATCCTTCTCCAATATCATTATAAAAATTGGGTCTCTATAAGTTCTTTACATTATTAAAGAAGGATGTTAACTATGGACCAAACTTAAAATTGCTTTGTTTGGTCAAGCCACTTATTGCAGAAGTTTAACAACTGGTGTTTTTTTTTAAAAAAAGAACTTCAGTTGTAGTTTGACCTAAATCTCCAAAATTACGTCATTTTGTATTCTTAAAACAAACTTCAACTAGCATTACGACTAAAATATGTGAACCTTGTCATTATAAACAGCCCATGAATTTCACATCGGCAATCGGCAATTGCCGACCATATTGCCGAGCCAGAATTGCTAGAGGACGGCAATTTTTTGCCGACCTAGTCCTAGATTTCTTTGCTTCAAACACTGCTTGCAAAGTCAAAAACCTTTACTGAAACAGGCTGCAGACACTAAATTTCATGTACTTCATCAAACCAAGGAAATTGGTGGTTCATAAAACAGATTTGTTTGTACAATAACTATTTATAATAAGCATGCAGAACGTACGATTTTTGTACAATCGTCTTGTCTTTCTCGCCTTGTCATTTGGTAGGCTAGGCCTGTAGGTAGGAATGACGCTAGCCAGCCAAGGCCTTCAACATCGCCCAATTGAAGCCACGTGGGCCGCGTAAATCGTGCTTATCTAAATCTACTATTTGTCTTCATTTTACAGTATTATCATCATATTTAAAACATTGTTTATTATTTAAAAACAACAAAATTCAACATATTGTAGGCCTAATCCTACCGTCCGTTTAAAGGCAATCACGATCGTAGAGTGACTTCACTACTGACAAGTACTGTACATGTGTGGAAAATCCCGAATAGATCATTCTGGGCATGCGCATGGACATGCATAGGCAGTTTTAAAAGCAGCCTGTGATGATACGATAGTAGCTTTTACGAAAGTGAATATTTCCCATGCCAAAGATAACGATAAAACGAACGCTAAAACAAAATTTATTCAGCGATTTTCTTATGTAAAATATATGTATTATACTACACTATTAAATTAATACAAGTACGACCATTCTTTCACCAGCAATATATTAATTTAATAGAGAAATTAACAAAATCACAATCTGTAAATGACAATGTAAGGTCAAGCGTTCGGAAAAATCGATAGAGGCCTGGGTAGTAAAAGATTGCCGAGGCTGCCGACCTCAGAGATTTAAGGTCGGCAAAATTTGCCGACCTAAGTTTTTCCAAATTTCATGGGCTGCATAAATCAATGTAATATTTTATTGCCGACCTAAGTTTTTCCAAATTTCATGGGCTGCATAAATCAATATAATATTTTATTAAGAAATATAATTCAATTCTTTTTAGATTCACTAATTCAATTTAATTATTTTACTTACTGTAGAGTATGAACATATTTTTAACATATCTTTTTGTATTAGGAGATAATAAGAAGTATAGAAATAAATAAATAAATAAATTTGTTATTTCAATTGTCATTTATGTCAACCTTGTTTGTAATACTATATGTCAATGTTATACACAGATGGTCTATTGATAGCTACCATCTTTAATGATTGTCTATAAATGAAGTAGAGCATGTTAACTTCCTATTATAATACTATATTATTGACTAGAAAATAAGAAAAGTCCATGAGCCACAAAGATGTGAACTGTAAACTACTTAATACCTGAATTGAACACTCCGCTACCACAAATCATCAGATCATAAAAGAAAAAGAACATTTTTGGTGCAAGACCCAATTATCGGGAAAGCTAACTATAGGCCTCCTTTTGGGACAATCCAGGCACCACAACTGTCCAGGAGGTAGAACTTCCTACATTATTATTACATTTTATGTTATATAGGGCTACTATAGCTATTGTTTAGTTTTCCACCAATCAGCAGGAAGTCTCACTACTCAAGTATTTTCTAGATATTATTCTCCTGAAGACAATTGAAGCAACTCAATTGAAACGTTGAGACATTCTCAACCAACAACAGTTCTTTTCAGAAGTACCTATGTGGTGTACTGCAAGCATTAATATATATTATTATACCTCGCCATGCAAATCTTCAAAATATTACATTCATGTTCACACTTTTATGAACATATTTGTCACTAAACAGGCTTGTCCATATTTAACTAGGTTGAGAAGTAACTTTTGCATCATGTTTACAGTTCAATACATTATCTGAGGGCTTAACATTAAATGTAGCCTATTATCAGATTTAATTTTCTGAACTAAACTTGAATTTAGCCTGCCCACTTCCTCATACTAATGGAAATGTATACTGTAGTATCAGTAGTACATCAGTATTCATATGTTCATACAGATAATCCAAAAATATGGCAAAAACTTTTTAAGAGAAACCATAAAAAAAACACACAAGTATTAGTTTTCAGCATATCAATGTGCTTTTCAGCGTATCAATGAAACATCCTGAAAAGGACCTAATGATCCGTAAGCGCAGGTTAACAGGGGCTGTATGGACCAGTAGGCTGGGGTAACCCCTACTCGTCTTGAAAGATGTACTGGGTTCTTTATAGTGCATAGTTTGAACCAATTGTGTACACCGAGCCTACGGTTTATAGTCCTTTCCGAGAAGACTTGTTCCACCACCAGAACCACAGGCGATATTATGGCTGTAGGTTGCAGAGCCCCTGCCTAAACCGCTCGGCCATTCGACTCACCTCTCTACATGCTACAGTGAGCTCCAAAATGGTCTTAAAATATGAGATGTAGCAAATGTATAGTAGTTTAAATAATTTTAGTTTTTAATAGTACTGTTTAATTGGTATTTTTATATTAATGTTAGTTATTAAATTATTACAAATTTGTATATTTTGTATTGCATACTCTGAATTTATTTAAGTAATTTATTCCATGGTGAAATTAAAAAATGTGAAGTCTGACAAACAATAAAAGTATGTCTGTATCAGTATTTGTAATTAAATATGTTATTAAATAGTTTTTTTCATGAGTTTTTACACTTTTGCATGAAGAAATTACAATTATGCAATACATACAAATGACAGCAAACAAACAAAATGTTCAAGATTTTACTTGGATATTTCATGGAATTATTATTTATGTTAAGGAAATAAAATTATGTTTAATAACTACACACAATTTAAGTTTAATTTATTTATGTCATTTATTCCATGGTGAAATGGAAAAAATGATGAATGATGATGATGAAAAAAATGTAAAGTCTGACAAACGATAAAAGTATGTCTGTAATAGTATTTGTAATTAAAAATGTTATTAAATAGTTTTTTCATGAGCTTTTACACTTTTGCATGAAGAAATTACAATTATGTAGTACATACAATATATAACCAACAAAAAAAATTGTTTACTTGGATATTTCATGGAATATTATTTGTTAAAAAGGAAATAGAAGTACTGTATGTTATGATAACTAAATAATTATAGCTGTCCTTGGATAATGTTTGAGGAAGTTATTTTGACTATTAGATGAGGGTACACTATTGGGAGTGACTGAAGGTTAAAGAAAAATTACTGTAATATAGTAAGACAAACACAAGATTTTGCCTTGTCCTCATTCAAAGAATCTTCAACATAGTACCTACTGTGCATAGCAGTTGTATTATACCATGGAGCTTTATGGTTCAAAACTGATCACCTCATGCCAGAGGTGCCATTTTTAATACAAAGTTGGTGGATTTGTGGGAGTGTCTTTATTCTATTGTTGACTTTTAGTTCAGTCATAAACTACAGTAGACCTAGAAATACAACCTTTTTCCAGCTCTTTATTGTTAAATATCTTGAATTTATTGTATTATTTTTGAATAAGTATGTTTTACAATAAAGAATTTGTAATCCTTTTAGAACAATTTTAAAATGCATTGTCAGTCATGAAATCATTGTGTTTACTTCCACAGAATTTTCCTATTAATCTTAATTTTCCTAATTCGATATAATGCCTGGTATTTTTTGCATCACGTCACATGTGCAAAAGGCTTAAAACTGTTGTTTTACATCACAATGAATATTTTGTTGTTATTCCTAGCTCTGAATGAACAAACCTAACACTGGCTCTACAGTGTTGGCGAATATGAATAAGGCCTACATCATCTAGGCTAGGGATAGAAAGACGTGGTTATGAATGAGTTACAACAAGGTAACTGACTTAAAAGAACTGAAAAGACAAGTTACAGTAACACTGAAATAATTCTTCATAAGGTTAACACTTTATTCTATTTAATGACATTAGACCTACATATAGACCCAACTTCATCAACCACAATCAATATATTCATCGTACAGAAGCGTATTAGTGCGCGTACTAGCAAATAATTCTTATACACGCAGCTGATACACACACGTAATAATGTATTTGATCACATCAGTGAGCAACTGGCCACCGCTGTAACTAGCAGTATAATTAAAGTATACATATAAATAAAACAAGGTGACTGATAAAGAAATTATTGTACAGTAAGTTATTTCGGACACTATAGAAAATAGAAGCCTTTGGAACCATTATTTCTTTCAAAAGTTGCATTGAACACCATATCATATAATTTTACAGTAGATCAAAACAGTGGTCTGTTAGATTGACAGAGTATAAATGTCTCCCTCCAATTAAAGACCATTTTCGGACTAGGGTTTTCATGACCGTCTTTAGCAGCCTTGACCTTTAAAAAATATTATTTGATAAGAGATTAATTTTGGGATTACAAAAAGGTGGCATTTAATTAGAGGTAGTTTATAATTGGAGTTGGTCATTTATTGGCGGGGCCTTTCATTGGACCTGTATAATATGAGTAATGAATATTTTAGTATTATTATGTGGTGGTAAATGTAAGTTAACAATTTTACTATAAATTGATTACTCAATTGGAACTAAAAAAATTAATATTATTAAAATATATTCTTTATTTAATGTTTACTTACATCTTGCTTATTATAGTATTTGATTACATTTTCCTCTTCTGATAGCACGAACAATCGGCTCTGATATTTGCTGTCGTCCTTGCCTCGTTTCCACAGGTAGCCTGTCTTGTGTCCAGACAAATACGTTTGCTTATCTACATCCATAAATTCATGGCGCTCATATTTAGCACGGATCCACTGTTCACGTAGAACCCTTAAGCAAAGAAACAATGGCAGATGTGATTCTCAATTAACGTACAAATTTCAACTTTTAACATTCGTTGCATTGAACAGTCGATCTTTCAATGACAACAAATAAAAATATTCTTCACATTGCATGAATACAAAACAATCATTATTTATTTTATAACACATCTAAAATAGATCCTTGTCATTTGATATTTTATGAAAAATAAAGTTAAGACTACCTTTCTTCCAATCGGTAGATATATCTACACAAAAAAAAATAGTCAGCTTCAAATTTGTTACAATATTTGATATTTTATGAATAAAAAAGTTAGGTCTACCTTTCTTCAGAATGGAACAGTACATCTCAATTTAACCAATGAATACTTGGTATTCATAATTCATAATTTCATTTCTCAAAAGTAAAGAGTGGGCAAAATGTCCCTGGGCAAAATGTCCCTGTACAAAAATGCCCCTGTACAAAAATGAATACCAGAGGTACAATATTAGGTGGAGGTGTGCAATATGACAAAATAAATGGAAAGAAATTCACAGATGGGACAATATTTTCAGGATGAATGACAATATTGTGTAAATAACCAATGTAGCATGATATAAAATCCACTAATCAAATGACAAGAATTTATTTTGGTATGTTATAACCATTGTTTAAAACCACGGAAGTGAACTCAGAGACCAATTAGATTTTCAGGTCACAAAGGTGGCCTCGAGATATAAGAAACTGCATTTAGCTATGAACATTACTGTAGGCCTATAATAGTGAATTGATATATTAACACTCACTGGCAATCGCTTTCCGCTGGCCGCTTGTAGGAGGGCGGTACACATAATTCATATTTAGCTTTCGCAGCTCTATTACCATTGGCTGCCATGAACTAGAAGAAGAAAACAAGAGTCAATTATTTTCCCAGTATACACTGACGACCCCATAAGGCCAGCACTACTTCTATATTTTTTAGTTTGTTCACGCTAGCATAAAATACAGAAAGACAAAAGAACAAATGGATTGAAAGCAAATTCATGAAGACGCTGTCATTGGTAAGGTGTGTATATTAAGAATAGATATTTTATTGTCAATTATGTAGTTTACAATGAAATTTATTTTTTGACTTTGGTTTCAGCATAGTTGAAAAAAATATATATTAATCAGCTTAAATACGTAATCGTACAATTGAATTATTAATTACTCTGACATCTGACAGGCATGGGCGTCAATCGGTAGGGGACAAGGGGGGGACATGTGTCCCCACTTTTCAAAGTAGGGGGATATTCATATCAATTGTCCCTCCCCACTTTTCACCAATCTTCTATATCACAATAGTGTAGTCACAATACTACTTGCACAAAAGTGAAATTCAAAAAGAGGTGAAAAGGGAAAACCTCTTGATTGATTTTAAATGTACCGTACTGTACATACTAATCAGTAGATAATAAATCATTATTTTTATGAATGTTGGTTTGTACGAAATATATAAGCAGGCATAATTATGATTACCAAGATAATTTTAAAAAACATTTTATGATGAGTATTTCAGTGACAGATTCAGATT